AGCAAAATTTGCATACCATAGCAATGTCTTTATTTGTCTTTATTTGTTTATTTGCAATGTCTTATTTATGGAAGACTGGCTCTGTATCTAATGATAATGGTGGTCTTGTGTGCTTTTTCTTTTTTTGTGCAGACGTGGATACACGCTACATTGCTGCTCTTCAGTGTCCTGTTCTATTATGCCTTTACCCTGTTGTTCAGCATTACGTGTGTGACATGCAATTCTCCTACAAACCCCTATGGCATTGAAACAAAAATGATGTCTGAGCCGCTCTACTATTTAGTATGTGGACTAACAACAGTCCTGGCCCTGCTACCCAGGTATTACACACACACCATTAGCTCATTCACATACAAGTCACAATAACAAACTGTAATACTGTTTAAAACTCCAGTTACCCTACGAGGCTTTTTAAATGGTTACCGAAAAACTTGGCATCATACAGGGTTTCCCAAATGGGGTTCTTTATTTACACATTTGCATAATTTTGTGGACTGAAGTTTACAGCATTTCAGCAGTATTCCACCAAAATAACAGTTTGAGGACTTGAATCATTAAAAGTGAATAATTTAAGACATAAATATTAGTATTGTAACTAATATTGTATTGCAACTATTATTGTAATAAAATAATTATTATGAAATGTTCATTTTTTTTATTTCAAAGGACAATTGTGATTTTACAACAATAAATCTCAAAGTCAAAGTCAAGTCTTAATATTATATTTAATTTGCTCGGGTTACGTAAACACTAGTGTAATTGTAATGTGAATCACAAATGTCACGACTAAAAAAGAGGTTTGAGTCCACTTTAAAGTCCAGGTTCAAAGTCAATTTTTTTTATCCATTTACCATTAACCAATAGAGAACCATGAACATGCGAATGTGTGAAAATAAAAGACCAGTTCACACTAAGAACATTTTAGCGTCCACTCCACACCAAAGAACGATAGCGCTCACTCAAATCTAATTATATTTCATTATATTCGTGATTCCAATTATATCGTTTCTCTGTGACATTATCTTTATAGTTATTATATGGACTCTGCTACTCTTTTATATATTATATATATATATATTTTTTTAGAACTATATCTTTATAATTATTGTTATAGTTATCATCCTAGGAGTGAACGGGCCTTATGAGGTTTGGCTGACAAGAAAGTTTGAGGACCCCTGCACTAAACAATTGAAGATCACACACTACTAGACTCGGTCCGGTAAACTCACACAGAAACATTCGTTCTAGGAGCCGCATAAAAAATAAAAGCAATGCGTTCTAAAATCGGCTCAAAATATCAAACAGGTTTGATCTCCTCCGACTGGATAGAATCAAAGTCTGAAGCTACAAATCGGAGTTTGTGCCCTTGATTTTCAGCTAAATCTGAACGCCCCAAAATCTGCAGACTGTTTCTGACTTTCAGCAACTAGCATCGAAACTAGCAGTTCAGGGCTAAAGTCAAGCATTTATTCTTGAGTATTTATACACTTCCAACAAAAATAATAATTCTGAGATGCCTAGTTTTTTCCTATTTATGTGGGAAAGAAATCTATTTCTTTGTCACAGAGAAGGCCTGAACAGGCACGCTTAAAATTGTATTGTGTGATGAGAGCTGAAAAAGCAGTATTAATGGCATCATTATTTGAGAAATGTTATTTAAATGTAATCCTGGCAAACAAGTTTTCAGTCTTTCCCCATTTGATAAGATCTGTACTTGTATGACTTTTCACTACATAGGATATAGTTGCCTTTTTTCTATGGAAAGGTAATTGTCTGACTTTAGACAGACTTTATTAAAATCAGTCACTTACGTTTTCATCTTGTCTTAAAGGGTTAGTTCACCAAAAAATGAAAATTATGTCATTAATGACTCACCCTCATGACGTTCCAAGTCTCATCATCTTCAGAACGCATTAAAGGGATACTCCACTTCCAACTTTTTTTTGGAAATAGGCTCATTTTACAACTCCCCCAGAGTTAAACAGTTGAGTTGTACCGTTTTTTTGAATCCATTCAGCCGATTTTCTGATATTTAGAAGAATATCAGTAACCAGACAGTTTCTGGTCTCATTGACTTCCATAGTATATTTTTTTTTCCTACTATGGAAGTCAATGAGACCAGATACTGTGTGGTTACTGATATTCTTCTAAATATCAGAAAATCGGCTTAATGCATTTGAAAATGGTGAAACTCAACTGTTTAACTCTGGGGGAGTTGTAAAATGAGCCTATTTCCAAAAAAGTGGAGTATCCCTTTAAGATATTTTCGATTTAGTCCGAGAGCTTTCTGTTCCACCATGTACGATATACTGTCCTTGTCCAGAAAGGAGATCAATACATCATCAAAGTAGTCCATGTGACATCAGTGGGTTAGTTAGAATGTTCTGAAGCATCGGAAATACATTTTGGTCCAAAAAATAACAAAAACGACGACTTTATTCAACATTGTATTCTCTTCCGGTGTTCTGAAAATTCATGCTACCCATCGAGATTTGCTACTTACCGGTTATGCGCATGTGCAGACTCACAGTTTGTTTTTTTTTTTTTTTTTTTTTTTTACAAAAGGTACATTTTCCTGTTATAATGTATAATTTCCCTTTAAAAATGCTTACCACCATATGAATATTTGTGCGGTCAGCCAGCTGAAAAAGAATAACTGAAAGTTTCAGTTACTATTAGGAAAGGTGTACTTTCACAAGTCAAAAAAGAATATTTTATGATAATTTTTACTTATCACACCGTTAAAAATAAAAACAGTAGTCTACAGTATACAGTAGCTACTCATAACTTAGAATTGTATTATAATTGTATTTCATACGACTTTAATCGACATTCTGTGATCAATTCGCGCTACGGTAGCATTTTTCGACAAGGCAGCAAAAATCGACAGAACACCGGTTCTGTTGTCAATCCGCGTTCATATTCGTATAAATATTCTAACTAACCCACTGATGTCACATGGACGACTTTGATGATGTGTTGATTTCCTTTCTGGACAAGGACAGTATACCATGCTTACATTATCTTAAAATATCTAAAATATTTTAAACTGTGTTTCGAAGATGTCTTACGGGCTTGGAACGACATGAGGGTGAGTCATTAATGACATAATTTTAATTTTCTGGTGAATTAGCTGTTTAAAGGCAGCTCATGATGGGACAGTATATTTCACTGTTGTCTTTTCATCTTTTTTGTGTCTCAGGATCCTGTTTCGTGCCTTTTGTAACACTATCTTTCCATCTGACCTGGTGAAAGCACAGAAAATGGAGAGACTCTCGGCACAAGACTATTTCTCTAGTTTAAAGAAGTGGAGGGAGAACAAAGCCGCTCAAAAACCCGTCCCTCAAAACCTCAGTGTTAATGCTGACATGCCCCATTTAACAGATTGTATCGCTGAATGAGGCGCTGTTCTCTCATGACCAATAACAAAGTCCCTTTTGGTCATATAAACATGGTCATTAGCTCAGACCTATATTCTTGCACTTTAGTGATCGCTAGATACTCTAACCAGTCAGAATTCAGAGCTGGCTTTTCTCTGGCCAATGAGAGTGTTTTCACTGTGATATGCCTGGGCTCTCACACCCTCTGCCTTACAGATGAACCGCAGAGTGGACTTGGAGTCTGGCTTTTGTAGGCTAAAGATATGCAGATAACTGTTTACGTGTCATACGGCTGGACCTGTGACATTTTTATTCACACATGCACTCCAGCATCACACAAGAACCTCAAGAGTTGTAGAGATGAATTGTGGGTCAGGATGTGGCTGCTGTATGGCAATGTACTGTGGCAACTTTGCTCCTACTTTAATACAATACATTATTGGTTAATGAGGCTAAAATATTCATGAGCTTGCACACTAAACATTAACATATACTATACATAAACTCACAATTTTCCACACAGTCGTTTTCCAGATTTTATATTCTAGCAAACTGTAAATTACCATCTTCCTCTGGTTAAAACTATAGGAATGATTGAATAAAGATGTTTTTTTTTTCCAGTAATTTGGAAAAACATGATTCAGATATGTTTTTAAATATCTGATCATGGAGAATGTTGAAACCATGAGGATGTTACATTATAGACATGAAATTTTCCTTGCTCAGGAAAAAAATGAGGTGAAATTAAACATGAGCTAATGTATTTTTGACCCAAGGTCCTTGATGTTAATTTGTGTTTAGTGAACATGCCTACTGCATGCAATTACAAATGTACATGTCCAGTATTTCATGATAAAGGCTAGATTGCTTTTTGTACTTAAATGCAACTTTATTTTTATTGCAAAAAGTGAATGCTTAGATTGTGAATCGATAGTACAGAATGATCAGCTTAGATGATTTTGAGTCATTGACTCGAAAACATTATTGAAAGTCATCTTGTAAGCCCTATGTGATATTTGTAAAACTTGCAATAAAACATTCAAAACCTCAAAACTTGATTAGTGCATGATATGAACATACTCACAACCATTAGCCTATGTGTTATTGTAGAGCATGTTTTGAGAGATAAGAATTGGCTTTAAAATCAGGGATGCCAACTTTTAAATTTAGCTTGGAGTGAAAAAATAAATACACACAAAAAAAATAAGTGTATTATGGCGTCTTTGCTCTGTGATTTTTTTTTTACTTCAGACCAAATTATAGCCTACTGTTTTTGTGACCTCAGTTTAATCACTGAAACATAATTGCACGATTCACTGTTATCCTAAACAACTTACATTGTTACAATGTCTTCGAAATATAACATATAACTGCTGGAATGACAGCAGTCTACTTTTCTAAAAAAAATTATTCACTGCAAATAAATCAATACATTTGAAAAAAAATGTAAATTTTTAACTACTAAATGCATTTTTAATATTTTGAATGTTTTCCAAACTCAGACAGTCAGCCATTTTTGTGGACTTTCCACAGCAATGACTGAATGCCACAGTAATGGCCACATAAAGTGAAATGTTTCTTATTGAATAGGAGAACAAGTGCACTCTAGCACATGGTTCTTTACATTGATTTAAATGCTGGGCGGATCTACTCGACTTCCCTGCCTCTGTGGCTTTCGATTCTAGCGCAAGAGCAGCTCTACGTGAGAAACTGTTACTTCGTTCGCGCTGAACTGAGATTATTTACTAAATGACTGATTCTGAATGACTGACTGACTGATAGCGACCAAAATCTGCCTCAGTCACAGCAGATCATCATCAGACCATGAGTGTCAGTTCAACGCGGAGCAGCGGGGAAGAACTCGACGAGCTGGAGTCAGTTAGGTAAGCTCAAATAACTCTGATTTATGATCTATGGACCTTTCTAAACGCATAGACCACTCATGAAATAGCCTAACTCTACATGATGATAATAAGCAGTGTAACACGATTGAGATCAGTTATGCGCAGTAGCATGCGCTTCGTTATTTTAATCCCCCTTGTTAATATTTGATCCTCAGATCCTTTTAAATGGTTCTACAGCTAAACTTGTTTCTGTTAAAGTTTCAGTTTTTCGGGTTATGCTCAAATGTGAGAATAAAAAAGGGAAGAGCAATACAAGTATACAGAGTATAAAACAAGTGTAAAGAGCAAACTATTGTTAGTTGTTTGATTTGTACAACTGTTGTCGAGGTAAATTAAGCTGCGTTAGCAAATGAACGAGGAAATACTTCTCCAATTTTACTTCTTCAGTGAATGAAAAGGTAGCAGACACCTATTACCTCATTGACTGTCTGTTGTATGATTTGACCTATATCTATGAAGTTTTTTTCTTGCTAACGACAATATAGCAAAACAAATGTAAAAATTAATTAATTAATTAATTAATCAGTGTAGGCTACATTGTAATTTCACATAATTAATCAAAGACTTTTTAAAAAACCCACAAAGCTCAACATGTCATTTTTATATTAAACCCCCATTTTAGGACCAGTAAGTTTATTTATTTTTATATTCATTATTATGATTAATATTTGCTTTGGGACATTATATTTATGACCAGTAAGCACATTCACCACTAATTCTAATTACTATTTTAGTCAAGTCAAGTCATTTAACTATCATTTAATTGCTAACTGTAATTTAATCTAATGGCTTCATCCCTTCCCTACATTTTAATATTTTAATAAGTTTCAGAACCAGCACATCTGGAACAATAGCAAATATGTCAGTGGATGTTCACAGTTGATATTCAGCATCACCATACAACATGGCTTTGTGTTTAAGTGCCCCAATTTGTTTCTCTCTGTAGCTGGTATCATTATGATTTGTCCCGACATGCAGCTGAAGCCCTTCTCCTGTCGAATGGGGTAGATGGGAATTTTTTACTCCGAAACAGCAACAAGGGTCCTGACTGCTTTGCTTTGTCCGTCCGGTAAGAAATATCTTGTAAAAGTATGGTAAAATTACTTGCAGTCGACATACTGCAGATTATGCAAGTTGTGTATTTTCCTTGTGTGCACTGACTCCAAAATATAAAGAAATCTACCCGCAAAGCTACCTAAAATGAACCTCATTTGTGTGGAAGTGCTGCTTAATAATTTTGATTTTTTTTTTGAGAATTTTTTTTGATAAATAGAAAGTTCAAAAGAACAGCATTTATTTAAAATAGAAATAGAAACACCTTGCTGAATAAAAGTACTAATTTCTTTAAAGCTGCAGTCTGTAGTTTTTCCTCTTTGTCGCCATCTCTGTTCGAAATCTGCAATTGCAGTTATTTGTGAAATTCTCAACATTATGTAAGTTGTGCCTCGGCACAGCGCGGATGAATCCAACGTTTTGAAGAGAATGTGTGGCTGTCAGTCACCGTGCGGTTTGTATACTGTCATTCGGATTATGACCAACATAAGAATTTTCACTGGAAAATGTCATTTGAACAAATAACATCCACTTTTGTTCTGACCAACTAAGGGAAAAAAGGCAAACTAAGACATGCTCTAATTTCCCCCGGATATCCACCAGTACCACTGGAATTAAAAATATTATTGCAAGCTTACCGCTTTGAATCGAGCTAAGGCAAGCAGATATCTTTGAACACTGGCTGGTCATGTACTTGCTCAAACATTTATTTTGGATAATTTTTACCCCTAAAAAGTTACGGACTGGAGCTTTCAGAATTTTGCTGACACTACCTTTTTAAATAATGAATTATAATATAATCTTAAAAAAACGTATCTGACCTTTGTTCTGTCCAGCAGTAGACACTCACTTTTCCTAAAATGTGTTGCAATCCTCTGCCCTTTTATTACTCAAACAATTTAAAAGGTCAAATGATGACCCAACATGTCTTTTTGCTAGTCCCCTTATTTTTCCATTTCTCTTATTTTCTGTGGGTATTCAGTTTACTTAAAGTTTTTCAGTTCCTTTTTTTTCAAAGTGTCAGTTGTGAACCACCATAGTCTTGTGTCTTGCAAAATAAAGGTGCCTACTCCCATTTGAATATATAAATAAAAAACTATATAAATAAAAAACTGATCCATACAAGCTACGAAGTGCTGACTAAATCTGCTCACTTCACTGTGACAGACTGATATGTATAAATGCGTTTAATTCTGAGGTTAATTGACTCTTTGTCAAGTAGTGTGTGACTATATAGAAATAACTTTTAGCCTATTTCAGTGTGACTTGGTGTGATATTGTCTCTAAAAACCAAATAAACAAGTTAAAATCAAGTAATATTGAGAATTCAATCACAGTATGGCAGCATTTACTCACTCTCTTTGCCATCAACACTTCTTTAGAGCAAAGGACTCAGTGAAACACTTTCATGTCCGACGGCAGTTTGGCAAATATTCCTTTGGCTTCAATGAATTCCCTTCCCTTCAGGATTTTTGCAGTCACTTCGCCAATCAGCCTCTGCTAGGCAGCGAGACAGGTTAGTAGTTTGCCTTTTATTTACAATTCACAAACTTTTCAGCACTTCTGCGGCACAGTCACCCTGTTTCCTGTTTCACTCTTGTAACCAAGGAAACCTGATAGTGCTACGGTTCCCGTACCCACGGCAGGTGGAAGAGCCATCTATTTATGAGACGGTGTGTGTGCATACGGCCATGCAGACAGGCCGGGATGAAAACGACCTGGTGCCTAATGCTCCAGCAGTAAGTCAAAATGACATTATAGTGACACACATGTATTGCATCTAAAGTGCCCCTATTATGCTATTTTGGATGTTACCTTTCATGTAGTGATATTTAACTACATGAACTGGCGTCGTCAGTAATTCCAGCTTTACTTCCTGCTCAAGCCAACGTAGGTTTGTAACAAATGTGCATAATGCCAGAGACTATTTATATAGAGACATGCAACTTGCTCAATCCTTAATACAACTATAAAGGGAAAACCCGTAACACCAAAAATGGCCGTTGTATGCATATGCCCCGCCCCTGCCATTGGAAAGCCAATCGTCTGCTTTTAACAGTCAAGCCGGGAAACATTTAAGCCTATCGTCTGGTTCCACCGACGCATGCGCACAGTTGAGGTTTGTGACAGCGGAAAATATGTTACTGTTTGAAAAGGCGGCAGATATGATGTGTTAGTTGTGTAAATATCAGACATCCCAAGTCTCCCGGAAGTTCCGGGAGTCTCCCGCACATTGATAGCGGCTCCCTGATGCCCGCAAATTATTTCAAATCTCCTGGAATCGAGAGCGAGCGAGCAGCATGCGCAGTAAAGTAAAACTTGTGGGGAAAAGGGCGTTTTAAACCTTATTTTGGGGCAAAGTCGTCAAACGTTTTCAGCGATTTTTATCACATTTTATTACTGTTTCTATACAAGCAGTCCTGGTGACCAGTGAAAGTGCAGTTCTGAGTCTCTGCCCATTCATTAAGATTGGAGCCTGGTCTTGTTTTACGGGGATTTCGGATGCCCCAACGCCTGTGATGAGACGACTCAATGCCTGTGATGAGACGACTCAACGCCTGCGATATGTTATGGCGCCGTTTGATTCATAAACAATATTTATATTTAATATTTATATTTAAACAATATGAATGTAAGCCAGAGGAGAACTGGCCCCCGACTGAGCCTGGGTTCTCCCAAGGTTTTTTCTCCATCCAATCTGATGGAGTTTGGTTCCTTGCCACTGTCGCCTTGCTTTTGGCTTGCTTTGAGCTTGCTCAGTTGGGGTTATTTATTTAGTGTTTAGCAATGTTGTTGATCTGTGTTGTGCTACTTACATGTTATCACTGTGAAGCTGCTTTGATACAATCTGTATTGTGAAAAGCGCTATATAAATAAATGTGACTTGACTTGACTTGACTTGTTAGTTCGAAATAGCCGCCCGGAGGCGTTGCCAAGATGGCGGCCGAGTGGCATGACTTGCGGACTTTGATAATGCTTACTTTACCTTCAAACACTGAAGTTGTTGCTGAACTGTTTGATTCGTGTTGGCGACATGTTGAGAAGATGATGTTTTATGCACTGCGAAAACATCGATTTGTAATCCCTCTGGTCCTACTCACCCCACTCCGAGCGGGACTCGAACCAGCATCTCTGGCATGGGACAAGGTTGCTAAACACCTCAGTCTCTGGTGCACCTCTTGAGATCAAGGGAGTGAAGTTTACCTGCACTGCTCTCACTAGCTGGCCTCCTTTACACTCCTAAATCTCACTCCCATCTGGGTCACGTAATCCGTCCAGTTACTGTTTATATCACTGTGTTTTCAAGTGCTAAGGGAAGCCACCGGAGCTGAAATTCAGATATGGTAATGGTGTTTCTCAACAGAATGGACAACTGGACCAATCAGAGTAGAGTAGGCTGTTAGAAGAGACCGAATAGAGAGACCAAATCCTTTATGGAAGTGTTTCAGGCACTTTGAGAAAAGAGGTGATGCTGCAATGTATATTATCAGAAAATTAAAGGTGATTTTAACCTTGTAATCGGATGCATATACACCTATTGTAGGAGACATCCAAAACAAAATTATTATCATTTAAAATAGCATAATAGGGGCATTTTAAAAGAGTTAAATGGCATTTAGAATTAAAAATCAATACATACATGCAGTGAGTGGAATTTATCTGTGTCTTAGTAGTATTGTCTGTGCTCCTGAATCATTGAAAGTGTTTTTGTGTTGTTTACAGCTTGGCACAAAAGAGGGTTATCTGGTTAAACAAGGATCGCTTATCAAGGTATGGTTACACAATTTTCTATACACACACACACACACATACACTAATGTTAAGAATTTCAACCAATGTTTACAGTACTAATCGAGTCAATTGTGAATGGTCCTAGAGCAAACCTAGACCTAGTTTTTTTTTTGCTAATGGCATTCTTCTTTATTTATTTTCTGGGAAGAATTGGAAACAGAGATGGTTCACGCTGAATAGATATGAACTCAAATATTTCAAGGACAAAATGGTAGGTTCATGTACTTTGTTAAATAAGATTTAGAATTAGATAACCATTAAAGTTGATTATTTATCTCTCATAAAACTGTCCCCTCAGTTTGTAGAGCCGATACGAACCCTGAATCTGACGGAGTGCTCTGCTGTACAGTTTGATTACAGTCAGGAGAGGGTCAACTGCTTCTGGTGAGAAATTTATGATATGACTGCATGTGATTTCCTTTTTTTCTCTCTTGGGTGTCAGGGATAGGCAAAATTCTGAATATATTGGCTTCCCTTTTGTTTACTAGAGAATCTATAATTTTTATACCATTTGGTGACATATTTGAATTTTCACTTTCAATTTCAATTACAGAAGAAATGAATTGCAGTTCTAAATCCTGCTACATTCATTATTCATTCAAATTAAGGATTTGTAATTTAAAAGGCTTTCTCAGTTCTCAATCTGAATGGTGCACAACCATGAGTTTATGGGACAAGGGTGGCTACATTTAATGAACTGAACAGAGCTGAATAATGTCACAATTACCTTGTTACATCTGCTTCATGGCAGAATTTAAATCACTTATTAGATAAAGTATGCATCATAATTCTGTTACTTTCCTGTTTTTTATTGTGAAACTGCTTTGAAATCACCAGCTGATATTCCCCATCACATCAGAAAAATACCATCCATCACATATTTCAAAAAGGCTTACAAACTGTCTCTTCTAAACAGTTACACTTGTACTCACTGTTTGTTTATTTATTGTCCGAGTCCTGTTTCCTGTTTGTATGTTTTATGGTCCGCAGAACAGGAACCTGCTGGAAACCAGTTTTTAAACGAGTCAGGCCCGTTTAAATTGTACCTTAATGTTACTTTTCATTTTTCCTGTATAATAAATGAAATGAAATGAAACTATCTTGTATAAAGCGCTATACAAATAAAATAAAGGTGACAAAATAAGACATTTCTACTGTGCTAGACTAGAAGTCCTGTTTGTTTTTACATCTGAAACTTCTGCAATTGGCCAACTATAACATTTCTGGCTATTTTTAACAACTGAAAATCAGCTAGTATATCTGCAGTATTACACAGTTCCTGTGCTGACTAAATCAGCATTAGAGAGAACCTGCATGACAAAACTCACACTGTCTGTGTACAGACTGAGATATAATGATAGGTTAAAAGGTAATAATTTCATATCAAAATCCTAACATTGTGTGTTCAATAGCTATTGCATATAATATTTTCCTTCATGTACTGTAAGTGAAACTCAGTAATGAGGAAGTGCAGTCAGACACTCCTATACACGGACTTCCTCCTGCCCACATATTTTCCGATGTACTGTATGCTCAATTTCTCACTATGCAACTCTTTATTAATATTCTTTTACTTTAATTTTTCTCTCTCTTTCCTATAGTTTGGTGTTCCCCGAGAGGACGTTTTATTTGTGTGCAAAATCCGGTGCTGAAGCAGACGAATGGATTAAGCTACTACGATGGAAACTTGTAAGCAGAAGCTAAAATATGAACCATAAAAGAACAGTCACTATGAATAATCAATTGGACGTAATGGTGTAACAGTATAAATAGTCAATTATTTCTTTGTTCCAGTGGAAATTAATCAGTCTAATCTTAGATGTATTTGTCTTTTTGTTGTGCTTATCTCTAATGTTGACTACCCTGCATTTCTAGTCACAGGTAAAGAAAGGTCGATGATGTTCAACATGGAGAAGTATCACTGGAGCAATGTGAGCTGCGTCAGTTTTATGTTAGTAATTACACAGGATTCAACTTCATCTGATTATGGTAGATATAATCTGGCATTATGGTAGATATCACATGAAGATATAATGTGGCCACTGAATCACACATGCAAGATTTTCCATCTAGATCAAGCGAAGTCCCAAGGCACAATGCTATCATGCTTTAAAAAGAGTCTGGAGGCGGTACATTACCAGTGTTTGTTTTATAATTGACTGTAGGAAGTTTTTTATCTTATATATTGTGTTCTGTGTGGAACTTACTTTTTTTCTTCTTATTTTTCTCCGAACCAAGCTATACTTGCTGAATGTTCCTTAAAACAGTGTGTCTGCTCCCAAACATACGTAAAATACCCCCCTTATATGCATGGCTCTGACTATGAAGAAGTAAACCTGTACAATTTAATGAAGTTTGTGCATTGAAAGACCTTTGGATGTAAGATACTTTATTGTCAGAATCGAGAGCTGAAGTGATGTATGTTGTAGGCCAACCTGGAAGTTAGCGTCACCCTTATTCCCTCCACAAAACCCCAATAGGATTTTACATTGACTTTTGTATTATTGCGAAAAGTTTAACTACAAATTTAACGCCACCATCTCTAAGTTTGAGTTAGAATAGTACACGATTTAAAATGCAACAAGGCTATGAAAGTAAATATGAGTTTTCCTATTCAGTGCGAGACCGTCGTTTGAGGTCGAAACGTTGCAATTTATTAAACTTCTTTGGGATGAAATAAGAAATAGAAATAGTGCGCAAGTTCTTTTAGCATTTCAGCTCAGTTTTCTTTTGATCGAGCACCTGCTGAAGTGATGTTTGATGATAACTTGTGTTAATCATAGAACTCAGGTTTTGATCTACAAAAATGTATTTTCCCTGCAGTATTCTATAGACCAAAATAAAAGGTATAAAATATTATAATTTCTCCTAATAGCAATGCTACTTCTAATGTGATGTGTGAACTGACAATGAACTCGTACGTGTAGCCATTTTCCTACGGAGATGCCCCTTCTGTAAAAATTGTCAATAAATAAAATTTATTTTTGTAAACCAAAGCTTTAGACAAATTTATTAATTAGGAGACAAAAAGGAGCAGGTTACATTCATAAAAGACATACAGCATCAAGACATTATATATGTACATATGTGTGTGTATGAGCTAGAACATCAAGACATCAGACTGGATGGGTGATCTTGACCAAATGTCTGATTCCTGTAGGTACTGAGATGAATAGCAACTAAGCTACTTCCACCACCTGTCTTAGTTCTTCAATCAGAGGGACTAGCTCCTTCTCAAGACTGAAGATCAAACCTAAATATGAAAGAAAAAAAATCAGGGAAATGAATCATTGAACTGTTATTGTCATGAGCATTCAACTGGCTCTGTGGCTTTTGTCCGATTGGAGAGACTCACCTGTGTTGGCATTACTACTTGCGATGAAACTTATCACTAAAGGTAATCGGTTGAACTGTACAATCTGCCAAGGATATAAATAACCGCATATATTAGAACAAGAAATGTTTAATGGACAAGTTTCACATTCCCAAGGTTCTCATAAATGGAAATAGCAAGTCATATGTGTGTTTAAATATAAAGTACCTGATATGTGTTATAGTAACAAATGATGCTCTTATTTTTGGACAAGCCGAGCTTGCTGCCCTGGTCAGTTGCCAAGGCAAAGGTGGACAGGAAAGCTGGCCGCAGTGCATAGTCCGGGGCATTGTCATTGGCAACTAAAGGAGAAAACAAGTAAAATCTCAGATGGAGCTTCAGCAGACATACAAACAGACATGAAACTCAGAGCTGAGGCTGTTACCTTTGATTACAGGGACTCCATCTCTATCAGTCACCACTATTGCATGGAGTCCTTCAACACTGATGATGGCATAGAAAAGTAATCATTGATTACAACTCAGAATGCAAAATGAAGTACAAAACTTGTTTAAATCCAAGATAAATCCGTTTACCTTGGCAGCTGTTTATACAAATAACTCCTCAGATTCTGTAACAATCAAATCAAACGCATTATGACATTTCTAAGAAAAGTTGCTTCAATAAATGCATTACAAACATACTCACATCTGCCATATTCATTAGATTGACTAAGTAGCTCCCCTGCTGCGCCCTGTAGCAAAAACATTAAAGGACGACGTGGAAGTTACGCGAAATTTTGACAGTAACGTTATCTTGTGGGCATTACATTCATTGTCGTCAGCAATTTCTAACTAAACACTATCATTTCTGTATATAATTATAAATGAAGGAAATATATATTAAAGGCATAAGACGCAAAATGTAATACTATTACCTTAAATTCAACCACGTTTTATAAAAAGTTCTTCACTTGTCTAATGTTTATGTGCGATCATCACATGACAGAAAACACAAGCTTTTCCGTATACGTAATATCCGTTAACGTCACGTATTCAGGAGAGTGCGTGTAGTTTACACTACGAGGCCATCTAGTGGTGGCTGTTGGTTTTGATGTTAGTAGTAGAGTGTTTGTCTTCATCTCTTTATGTAAACTGTCAATTGATTAGTTCAAATTAAAGTAGCCTAAGTAAAAGTGTGTAGTCATTTTATCCCCTAACTAAAGGTTCTTTAATGGCATTAAATAAAAATAAAATATACACGTGGTAAGCTAAGTTGAAGCCAGATAGAACATAAACCTGACCGCCAAGAACTTTTTGACTCTCAAAATAAATTATAGACCCATCCATTCATATAGAAATGAATTGAAACCTACCAAGCTAACCGTTTATAAATAATAAATGTTGCATGATTGCTAAACAATAACTTTAGCAGATTATTTACATAGCCTACAAATGACAGAATCTATCATTTTTGTCGGATTCTCATTCTAACGATAAAGTCTTGATTATATGTTGTTATTATTACTTTGATTTCTATACAAAATTCATCTTCATAAAGACAGAAACATTCAATGATCCTGATTTCAGAATATTATGATATAAACTCTGATAGCCTATAAAGTCCCCTTTTTCTTCTTTTAAGAAAATGTTCCTAAAATAAATAATATCATTGAGTCTGTTTTAAAGAACCTTTAATTTTTTCAAAATGTAACATTGTATTGATTTGTGTAGCCTTGTTCAATCTCTTCTGATGCCCCCCTTGTTTTTTTCTCTTCTTGTCTTGTAGCCTATCCTAACATTTGCAATACAAAATAAATTAATTTAAAAAAGATTATTTAACATAACTCAATTCGTGTCGTTGTACTGTGCTTATCATTTTTTTTGCTGCACTTTTGTTGTTTTAATAGTGAATTATGCTAATGACTTGTACTCCACATTCCAATAAAGCTTTTCTAGTGCATAGAATGAAAAGCTTTCATGTGCGGATTAGCACTGAAACAACGGTTTCTTCAGTCCTCACAAACCAAGTAGAAAACATAATTAGAGAACATAATCCAGGCCAATGCTTTTCCAGCCCTTCATTCCCTCAATCACCCCATAACCACATCCCAGCACACAGTTTTATGATCTCTTTCTATAGGACGGGGGAGTCTGGATTTCGTTTTTTTTTTAACTGCATGGTTTTGTTTAAACAGATGTTAATGTTACACAGATCTGATACCTGAGTGGTGTATATATAACCTATATGATTATGTGTGACGAAGAGATGACGTCTGGATTTCTAAACGCTTCAGCTGAGAACGTTTATGGTGAAAAGAGCGCTTTCTCACAAACAGAACACAATATTGTTGCTACGTACCTCATCACAGCAGGTAAATAGCAGTGGTTGTGTGTTTACCTTTTGTATTTGATGTTAGCAATTAGCTATGAACTGAAACTTTTAAATAAGTAGCCTAATTTAATATTAATCAAGTTCATAATTGAATAGCCTAATTTTTTGAATTGGCATATCTTCTCATTAAGTAAGAGTTTAGTAAGCCAGATGCCAAGAATCACTTGGTTTCTCCTAAAAATATTCACAAATAATTGGATAGAACATTTGTTCCAAGATTTTAGTAATGTTCTCAAAATGTTAGCATAAAAAATGTTAGGCCAAGACCAAGCATGGAACTTTTTTTTTTTTTTTTTTTTTTTTTTTTTTTAACATTTTAGTTTGACGGTTCTCTCAAAATTAAGAACAAACGTTAACGTTTTTATAAACATTTGCCATAAACATGTTGATTATGGAACGTAGGCTATTTTACGTTTTAGATTAACAAAATTGTCTAATGTTCTGAAAAGGTTCTCTCAAAGTTTCGAAAAAACATTATAGTAGCCTAATGAAAATAGAACATTTGTCTGATTAAATTCAGGACAGTATTTTTAAGCATTCCTTGAAACTGACATTTACAGATTCAGCCATCCAGTGTAACCAGCAGGGGTGTGTATAAAATGGGAAACTGAAACCGGGAAATGTTTTGAATGGACATGAAATATGTGTGTGAGCCAATATCTTTGTGTCCACAGATGTCTGAATAGTTTATTCAAAAATGAACAATTTTGTCATCATTTACTCATCGTCAAGTTGTTTCATACCAAGCCATTGACTTCCATGGAAGAAATACTCAACTGTTGATTACCATCATTCTTCAAAATATCACCTTTTGTGTTCAACAGAAGAAAGAAACTCATTCAGGTTTGGAACAACACGAGGGATGCGTAAATGATGACAACAGTTTGTGTTTGAGTAAACTATCCATTTAACCTCCTGCTCTCCATTTCTATGTCTTTTTCTATCTCTACCAGGAGTGGTCAGTCTGACTAGTAACATTGTGGTGCTGCTGATGTTTGTGAAGTTCAGAGAGTTGCGTACTGCAACAAATGCTATCATCATTAATCTGGCTTTCACTGACATTGGTGTAGCCGGTATCGGTTACCCCATGTCAGCAGCCTCAGACTTGCACGGGAGCTGGAAATTTGGCTACATGGGCTGCCAGGTGTGCACCTACTACTTTTTCAATAAACACAATCATTTTGATTATATAATTAAGCTAAATTTAGTCATAGCTAAGTAGCTTTGTTAGGGGACAATGATGAGTAAGAGTGTCCTATAAAGCACACATGTAGTTTTGCAACCTGAACTAACCTTGCATTTTATTTCGAATATTTTGACAAAATTGTTTCACTACTTTTTTACTTCTAAGACATAATAATGCCAACAAGTGCTAGATATAAATATTTGAGACACACTTTTTCATTAAATCTCATATTTGTTTTGCTTAATTCCACTTGTATACTTTCTTGCATAACAATAACAGAACGTGTTGCCCCTGTTACAGATCTATGCTGCCCTGAATATATTCTTCGGAATGGCCAGTATTGGGCTGCTTACTGTGGTTGCCATTGACCGATACCTTACCATATGTCGATCTGATGTAGGTATGAATCTGTCCATTCAACTGCCTGAATGAAATATGAACCACTAAGGACCGTCATTGACTTAGTGGAGGGTCAATGTCACTTATGCCAAATGCTGTAGGATATCTATTAATGTGTGTTTGTTACAGGACAGAAGCTGACAACATTGTCATACGCACTTCTAATTGTGGCTGCTTGGTTGAATGCTGTGTTTTGGTCAGCCATGCCCATCATTGGTTGGGCAGGATATGCCCCTGACCCCACGGGAGCCACCTGCACCATCAACTGGAGAAACAATGACGCGTGAGTGAATGATATTACAGGCCAGACCATAGATAACCATTTTATTCCTTTACCAATCTTTTATCAGTTTTACCACTCTGTAAAGCTTTTTGATGAATCTTAAAAGTGGAGAGGGCATTACAAGTGGGACTAATCCTGTTTGCTTTTAGATCTTTTGTGTCCTACACAATGACTGTGATCACTGTCAACTTCATCATTCCACTGTCGGTCATGTTCTACTGCTACTACAACGTCTCGGTTACTGTGAAGAGGTTCAAAGTTAGTAACTGCCTAGACAGCATCGACATGGATTGGTCTGACCAGATGGACGTGACCAAGGCAAGCAAAAGTATTTTATTTATTTGTGCCATATTTCTCCCATTCACATGAGGGTAAATGGAACCATTAACTAAAACTATCAAAAATGATATTAAATACAAAAAGAGAAATTTTGTCATGGCACCTTAAAATAAAAATGGTTTAAGTACTAGTTAGTTAAAGCTAATTAGAAATATTTTATATAAACAAAAAAATTACTAAATGCAAACTGGAAATTAAAATGAAAACTGAGGGGATGTTTACACAAGATTATTTTCAATAAAAACGAAAAACGTTTTATGCGTTGTGGCTGTTTTTGAAACTTTTGAAAATTGGTATAAAAGGCAAGTTTTTGAAAACGATACCGTTATCGTCTCTGTGTAAACTACAAAAAAACGTTAATTTGTGAAAACAGTGACATCATGCGCATGGAGTGACATCACCAACTACTGGCCTGGCATGCAGTACATCATTGTCGTGTAACATCCTAAAAATGTAAAAAAAACAAAAAAACAACGTCGGTGTTGTTAAAACGATCCCCGTTTACACAATTCGCAAAAATGTCAAAAAACGCTGTATTATGCTGTCAGACCAGTAGTTGGAAAAATTACGCACATAAGGAGTGAAGGCGTAAATGCACATGACGTCACCGTTTTCACAAATTCGTGTTTTTATTTTATTTTACAGAGACTATAAAGGTACGAGTTTCAAAAAATGCACTTTGAAACCCGTTTTCGAAAGTTTGCATTTTCAGGACCCCAAAACACATACAATTAATTCCATTTTTAGTTGAAAATGGTGTAGTGTAAACGGCCCCCTAATCAAAATATAAACAAATACAATAGGCTAATCGTAAATACTGCTTGACTGGTTTTGTGTGCCCTTTGGTTTTCATTAACTAGAATGCTTAATTGTTTTTTATAGATGTCCGTTATAATGATAGTGATGTTCCTGGCTGCCTGGTCTCCATATTCGATTGTGTGTTTGTGGGCATCATTTGGTGACCCTAAAAAGATTCCAGCTGCAATGGCCATAATTGCCCCACTCTTCGCCAAGTCCTCCACCTTTTACAATCCTTGCATCTATGTCATCACCAACAAAAAGTAAGGCCTCCTTGTCCCATCTTTGTCACTTTCTTTCCTTTTCTTTCCTTACTATTAAGTTGCATTTGTTGACTGCAGGTTCAGGAGAGCCATCATTGGAATGTTACGATGTCAGACACGACAGCGAATGAACATTACCAACCAGCTTCCAATGACAGTGTCTTCTGTGCCACTCAACCCTTAAATTAAGAGAAAATCCGATATTTAAACATTCATAAAACATCAGCGCTGGACGCTATCTGTCTGCTCCACTGTTTTAACACCACTAGGGCACGATTACTTTGCAGTCTCAGGCGAACGGAACATGTTCTTTTGCCATGAATATGGTTCCTGCAACTGGCATTGCCTTCTTTTAACCTTGCTATATCTAATCTGATGCTCGTTACATAATGTCTGCAACAAATCTTGTGAAATAGCTGTTCTTGATACTGCATGTGCTCAAAATGTTTTCATTTGAATAAAAACAGTAACACAATGATCCGTTTTAAAGATTTCTTTTTTATTTTCTTTATAAAATGTGTTAAATTGAAGCATCCTTTATGACATTTATTTCACATTTTACAGATAATGAATTTGATGTGTTCTGCAACACATTAAATAAAGAAAAAATGTACAGTGCCTAAGGATTTGTAATGCCTAAGAAAATACTTTTTTAAAGCTGTCATGGCGACACAATCCAATACTTATTTTGTCAGGAGAGTGGCTCTTGAGCTACAGTAAAGATTCATTTTCAAGCTGCCCTGAGCAATTCACTGGCAAATTTAGTGGGGGGTGTGGGAAAAACTGTTCCAGCATTAGTCAGACACATTGTTCTCCAGCCAGACCCGGATCTCCTCCTGATTCCGTCGCATCCATTCAATATTGTTCTTTACAGTCTCTAATGCCTGCTTCCTGGGCATCTCACCTGCTCCTGCATTTGGCTTCAGGGCAAAAAAGTGCTCCATCTAAAAGGAAACCAATTTGTGACAGTCAAACACTGACACAAAAGTGCATTAAAATCTAAATCTACCAAGTAGTAAGCTAGTAGTATTCTTTTCCAAACACAGCCTTTGTGTCTCACCTTCCACAGCAGGAGCTCGGTGTTGTATGTACTAGTAATTCTGGAGGGCAGACGGCCCAAGTTCCTGTCATTGATAGAATATCTAAAACAGACATGAGATCATATAGAACATTGTTATTTTCAATAAGAAGAAAACCAAATTTCTCTGTTCCTTTCAACTGTTAGATGAACTAACCTGTTCACTAGGTAATCCCAGTTGAGGGTCATCCATTCCCAGGCCATAGTTTTGCCATATGTGTTGCGTGACACGTATTGCACTAGACTAAAAACATCTTGACTTCTCACAATGCTTTCATTTTTAGCGGCTTCAAGCAACCTGTTATAAAAGAAAGACATTTTGAACAAATTATTTATTGAGTGCAAGTTTACTATTACAAAGGCCCTGTGTTACGCCTGGTATTAAAGGACAACTCTCAATCATGTAGTAAAGTGTAACTACGTCACCTTAAAGTAAAGTGTTACCCAAAACAATTTTCAAAAAAATAAATATGTGTAAGAATCACACACAGTAAAATCTATATCATGCATTTAACTTTAATTCTGCACTGGGAAGAGGGAGATTACCTATAAAGGAGAGTGACATTTTCAACTGAAGCCAGGCCGTAGAGCAGCTTGTCTTTCTCCTGGGCGAGAGAGGCAGAGAGATACTTCTGGAACATGATTTCCCAGCTCCGTTCTGATTTTGAGTTCCTCATTCCGTATCGGTACACCAACAACCGTAAGTTGACAGCCACACTGCTGCTCCCCAATCAGAAAAAGAGCCTCTTTGATACATTGACTCTGAGTGGACCACTATACATCCTGTGAGGTATTTATGTATGAATGTGATTACCTAATTGTTCCTTCAATCCATTTATTGAAAATTTCAGAGGCTTGGTTGAGAGCTTCCTGGTCATTCATCTGACATGCAAGGCCTAAAATTGTCTCCCTCAGCAGCCTGTACAGGGAACGGAAAAAAGAAATTCAGGGAGGCGTTTACATGACACAGTTTTCAACTAAAAATGGAAAACTTTTTCTGTTTTGGCCGTTAATTTACAAGACAACAGAGTTTTGGGGGCCTAAAAATGCAAACCTTTGAAAATGGGTTTCAAAGTGTTGTGTATACTACAAAAACACACATTTTGTGTTCAGTCTAAATAGGCATGCGCAAGTACTTGACAGCCAAAACAACAAAGTGACATTGCAAACTACTGGTCCGGCATGCATAATACAGCATTATAGTTGCAGATTTATGGTAACATGGACCGTTTTAAGAACGTCGTTGTCCGCAAAAGTTTTCACAAATGCAAAGGAAAAACTTTTCTGCTTTTAGTACATTGTTGTCATGCAAAATTACACAAGGTTTGTTGAGATTTAACTTAAATATATATATATATTTGTATATATATCTTCCCTATTGTGACATTTCTGAGGAAAATGGATTCTCGAACAAGACAAAATGTAGAATGGGACTTAATTTTGCCACCCTATATGCCAGTACACACATGGAGGGGAAGTAATTTCAGGGAGGGTAAGTAATTTGATTAATGATTATGTGGGCATATGAATTTAAAATTATGATATGCAGCTGTGATAAATGTTTTATAATGATTAATGAATACTGCAATATTCCATGAAGAAGATAAGAAATGTCCATTTTGAGATTCTGAATTTCAGTAATCAAAATAGGTCATGTAACTTTTTGCATACATCATCAGATATTCTTTAGAACACAACTTGTGGAGCAATGTTGCGGTCATTAAAGCAAAGGGAGGATGAAACAAACACTTAAGTCTAAGACAATACATTTTTTTAAACTTTTTCATCTAATTGTTATAAAAAATGTATTAAATCAGAAAAGAATGCAAATCCAATGTATATATGCGTACATAAACTTAAACACACATGCATACTATTCAACGCATAGGCCTACACACAAATGCATATTCAGCACATGTACACATCACACACACACACGCACATGCTAAATAGTATGCATGCATAGCATTTAACTCTGAGGTTTACAAGACTGATAAATCCAAGAATGTGTCCTTGGCTTAGCCTGTGCTATTGGAGAGCTTTTTTAGTTAGTTCTGCCAAAAAAAATCTCACCGCTCTGTTTGGTTCCCCACATCATTCCACCCAAGGTCTCTGGATATCTTCTGGACATGGTCACGGAAGAGTTTCTAAACACGATTTCAAACAGAGCATGTAAAAAACCAGAAGATTAAAATAGTAACTTCTTGCAAACATTTATATAAAGAATATCAGCTATAAATCCCCCGCTTGGAATAAGACCAGATTTTAACATTTGACATGTTTATTTTTATTTTTTACATAAGAACTGTATTCATGCTCTGGATGGTAGTGAAGACTTTGGGATCCAACCTGGAATTTGGGGTAAAGCACTGGGTCATCAGCCAGCATATCTCTGACGTAGGAGATAGAAGCAGATACTCGATCCCACACAATGTACTCAGTTTCATTGGCCAGATATCTTGTTAAGTTGAAGGCATTTCCATAATTGACAATATCTGCCCTGTTAATGAAAGACAAAATGCAGCACCAAAGCATGACTTGACCATCAGTTGTTGTTGTTTTTTTTTTACTGTCAGCAAGTCGAGATTGAAAGCTAGCGTTCTGCAGTTGGAAAATGTTTTTACGAACTTACCGTCCAAATGCAAATACATCATCAATGTAGCTGCTTCGGTCAGTAGCATCATACACCTGAAAAAAATAAAAAATAAAATAAAAGATAAGATAAGCATCATTTGAGTTTATATAATTTATCACACTCTCTGCAGAACATCATTGCTCTGATTGGCCAATCGCAATATTACTCCGTCATCCGGGGTAACCCTGTCATCTGGCGTAGTCTCTCACAGGGGTGGGTCGTCCACCGCGGTCTGCGCATGGTTTGCGTACAATCTCATTTAGATTCAAACGCAATTGGCGCCATACAGCGTCTCAAGTATTGTCTGTAAGTATAAATTACCTCAGGTACAGAATTTATTTTACTGTAACATTGTTACAATGTCTTGTTTCTTGTTGTGTGCGTTATAGGGGACTACTTTTTTGCGTAAGCTAAATTTACCCTTTTCACAGACTTAACTGTTGTGATGGCGTTTTTTTTTATATTTTCATTTTTTAATACATTCATAACACTGGATACTTTGTATTATATTACCTTTTCATCAAATTACCAAAAAATATTACCACTATTGTGGAGTTTTACTTTTGCTATTTGAGCAAATTGGAACACACGAAAGACAAAAATATTTAATTCGGTCTCTCACGACTTGCTTCCTTCTGAGAAATTCGGAAACGTGAAAATTATATTAATGAGAAAGAAATATTAATGATTATACCTCATGATCTGTGAAAAGTTGCTCAGCAATAGTGCTCCACACACTGTCGTGGTGATTTACTCGATAAAAGCCCATGTGGTCTTTGTTGACTTTGATAAGACCATCGGTTGCAGGGGAATATCCAGCAATGACGTCCTCTAAATAAACACAGGCCAGAAATTAATTACACTGCAGGAAACCTCAAACCTAACGTACTTCTCAGTGTCAAAAACAGTCTAAACATATCTTGTTAACCTGTTTTGTCAAATAAGAAAGAGCTGTTTTTGGAGTTGAGTGTTCTCCACTTCACAGGAATGGTCCATTTGTATCTGTGGGACAAGAGAGATCATTGTGAACTAATGAACTTTTCAGTGTGCCAAATGAGAGAAGAAGAATCAGAGGTGAGTTTAGTTCGTTATCTGTGTTCCTGTAAAGAATAACGATAATTATGGTGTAGTTTATTGGATGACAGATTAGATAAGGACATATGTAAAGACTAGAGCAGTGCTTTTCAATTCATGGGGTGCTGTAAAATGAGTTGTAGGTTTGTTCTGATTGTTGACAGTAAGAATAAAGCAATTATATAATTAAGAATTCGATAGGCAAAATACATGGCCTTATTAGCTTTTAAAAGGAAGGACAAAAGCGCTTTCTGCGTTTTTTTGTTGTTGATGTCAAAGGCTGTGCTTTTGTTTAATAGTATTTTGGTGCAGATTCATCTGTCACTTGGCAGTATGGTGAACACAATCTTTGATAGTGTAAGCATTTTCTGCACATGCCATGTTACTTTTGTAAATTGTTGGGCCTATGTGGTTCATGGTAATTTTATTGACTTCCCGATGTTTTATTCCACAGAAAATATTTTGATGTAGAGAGATGCGGGAATGTCATCAGGCTCACCCCAGGGGAGTGGTGGGTTGGCTGGGGTCAGCATTGGGATCCAGGAGGAACCTGTTCTGGATGAGTTTTGCTTCAGTGTCTGTGATGGTCAGATTAAGAACAGGATAACCCATCTGCTTGGTCCATGTGTCCATAATGTCTGCCACAGGTAAGCCACTCTTCTAAAGTATGACCCAAAATATATATAATAGGCATATATCTAAATAGTGTGCTGACAAAAATGTGTTAAAAACATTAATTTATTTAAACAAATTAATGAGAGTTAGTAGACATGTAGTTGCAAAGTTACTTGAAAGTGGACTTTCCCATATTTTTCCCTAAATGTGTCACAACATGTGGTTATATATATATATATATATATAAACATTAAAACAGCAAGGTATGACCAATAAAAGCTATTTACATCTTCCATGGCTTTCCAAAAGTCTGAAGTCTTAGCATTCTGGAAGAGGAAGCTTTTAAGATATTGCTGTGGTAAAAAAAGAAATAGGGTTAATTTAAGATAAAAGCAGTGTAGAATCATTGGAAAATTAGTGTAAAAAGTGAGACGCCTTACTCGACATCCATCCCTAAATGTGTCACGGCCAAGCAAGTCCTCCAGCATACGTAAAATAGAGGCTCCCTAAAGCAGAATGAGATTAGAGTGACCAATTCATAGCAAAAAGTTAATAGAGCAACATCACTACATAAGGCATCACTGAATTTACCTTGTTATATGAGATGGCATCGAACACAGATGTGATCTCAGCAGGGCTGGACACATCCACAATAATAGGATGGGAAGAGAGAAGAGCATCATCGACCATGACAGGAAATACATCATTGATAAGCATGATGTCGCGCTGGGAACACAGAGGATGACATAAACATGACATCTAGCCTCAATGTGACTAGATGGTTTCAGAGAGATGTTGCCTATTTAGGAGTAGCTACATTTGAATGATTAAGGCATGTGCTCACCATTCCCCAGTCATCCTCAGCTTTTTCCACTCCCACATACTCAAAAAAGCTGGCAAAGCCCTCGTTCAGCCACAAGTCGTCCCACCAGTCCATAGTCACAATATTTCCAAACCACTGCAGATTAAAGACAGAACATGGGTCAGTTGTCTAAACTGCTTAGACTAGTCTATCTATTTTTCCAACGCATTCTCATCCCAAGGCATCATATACGACTCTTTTGCCAAAGCGTAGACATCCAACGCACATGGCACCCTTTAGCGTCAATATTACACGCTTCGGTGGTAGGTTTAGGTTTGGGGTAGGGATAGGGTTAGACCACTAGGAGGCGCCTTCTGCCCCATATATATCTGCTTCTCATTTGACGCTAAAGGTTGCCATGTGCGTTGGATGTCTACACTTTGGCAAAAGCGTCGTATATGACGCCTTGGGATGAGAACGGGCTCATTTTTCTGGTCCTAACTTTTGTTTTAATCAGTTACATAAAATGGTGGTTTGATCTAATTTGAATTGGAAAATGAAGACTGATTGCCTCTTGTCTAACTAGTCGGTCAAACTAAACTGCAGCTCTTAAGACACAGTATTAATATAGTGGCTAAGTTTAAGCAACTGGCCACAGTTCCTTAAATGGTAGACCCTAAAAACCTCATTCAGCCTTATATTGTTCCTGTAACCAGGCCTTTAATAAAAATGTGTTTATTCAAAGTTGAAAAGAAATTCAATACTCAAACTCAGTCAGCTGCAGTATAATGAAAGCTCAACAAAAAGACTCTGCTCCAAGTGAATGTCTTTAAAAGGAAATAAGTTACAAATTGTCTAAATTACGTCATGATTTTAGACCATCCAAGGTTTTTACAGTTCTATAATAATATGACATTTTTTAGCCCTGTGTAACTTCGGATTGTTTTTGGATTCCGCTTCCAACAACCTTGGACCTGGCCATAAAAAGATAATCTTATCAGTGTACAATGTGCCTGCAGTCATGATCCTAAAAAACATCACTACGTTGGATGTTTCTGAGAGGGTGTAATATGTAACTGTGTGATAGAAATCTTTATGGTAATCATATTTTTCTCTGTCAGTCTTGTTACTGTAAATCGGCCTGATAAAATTCAGCCTATTTGATGGAAAATGCAGTTACAGGAAGCAGTAAAATGAGATGCAGACTCAGTACAGGGTGTTCTGCCAAAGCCTGTTCTGAAGTGTGACTGATAATGTATATGCTATCGTCCTCGCTCTGCGCAGTGTCCGGGAACCTGTAGTGTGCTTGCTTTGATATTAAAGCTGCAGTCTGAACATGACATGCCAGGTTAATTAGCTTCACAACTCGTAATCTTTCCGTGATTACCATTAGACCGTAAATGTGATAGGGTTAGTAACCTGGTGAACAAGCTCATGTGCAATGACACTGGCCACTCGCTGTTTGTTGATTGAGGACGACTCCTTCTCATCGAACAGCAGGTTGGTTTCTCTGTAAGTAATCAACCCCCAGTTCTCCATCGCTCCTGTCCCAAAGTCTGGGATTGCAATCTTATCTGCAGAAGAAACAGAATACATCCTATATTCCTGTCACAATATATCATACTGTAGATAAAGACTAGGGCTGTCAAACGATTAATCGCATCCAAAATAAAAGTTTGTGTTTACTTAATATATGTGGGTGCACTGTGTATAATTATTTTATATATATATAAATACACACACATGCTTGTATATATTTAAGAAATATTTACATGTATATACTGTGTATACATTTATATATAATTTATATTATATATACATATAAATATTTTATATATAAATAATATTTTTTTCTTAAATATACAAGCATGTGTGTGTATTTATATATATATATAAAATAATTATACACAGTGCACCCACATATATTATGTAAACACAAACATTTATTTTGGATGCGATTAATCGTGATTAATCGTTTGACAGCCCTAATAAAGACATAATATAAATAAGTTTAAAAGATATCATAAATCAAGTTTGTAGAGCTGTTAAATCTTAGAAGGGTAAATGATAAAAAAAAGTGTTAAAATAAGCTTAAATTCATAAGTTAAAAAAAAGCTTAAATTCAGTGAAAAGTACTAATATTTTCCTTATACCTGGCATTTAAGAAGATACACTTATACACTTATTAATACTTTCAGAAATATTTTAAAATAGGCTATATATTAAATTTAATGTTAAAAAATTCAAACAAATATCAATAATGTTTAATTTATAAATTAATCATAAATGTAACATTTTGGGGGAGTTGCACCACATGACATATTACAACCTATAAAAAGTCAAATTGATTTTTTTTTTCTGTGTTGGTCACACCACATGCCAAGACTTACAAAGTATATTAAGTAACAAAACTGTTATAATATTTCTGTTTAGACAAAAAATCATAAAAAATACTGTCCACTTAACAACCAATTACTTAACAAGGGTTTCTTTTGAGAATTTAATTTTTTCCCCTTCATTGTGATATTGGGACAGTTTAAAATGAATATGAAAATAAATTTAAATTCATAGATTGAAAACAGGCTAATCATGAAAGAGTTGTATTCAAGTTATTATATGAATTGGTTTTATGTATTTTTTAAATAAATTAATAGATACAGAAAACATTGCGCTATAAAATAAAAATTATAAGTAATAATTAATAATGATGATGAGACCACTAATATGATAAACAGTTAAATATTTTGAAAATGTATCTGCTGATTTACCAAGTTTCTCTATAGAATAGTCCATGTCAAAATACTCCTCAAAGTAATCAAATATGATCTTAGTGACATTTGCAGCATATGCAGTGGTTGAGATCTGCGAAGGCTGAGCATAGATCCTCAACTGTCAGGGGGAGAGAAAGAGATGAATAATGAAAATCCACAGGTTTCAGTGTTCCGACTGTTAGGAATTATTCAGTAAATCCTGGTTTAGAAGAACAAACAGCTAAAAAAAATGTCTTACTGGGATTCCTTTTTTCGATGTTCGCTCCACATATGTGAACTGGTGCACCGCAAAACATACCAGATAGGTGCTCATCTTTACAGATTTTTTAAAGGAGGTTTTTGTTTTTTCATCTGACACTTTCTCTGTGTTCTGTGAAAGAGAGCCAAAAGATGTGTTTAAAGGAATATTAACATCTAATATACAGTTGTGGTCATTTCATTATGATATAAATGTTTTTCTCCAAAACACATTGGCCACAATTAGTGCACCCCTAGAAATATATTAGAAGTGTATTCCCATTCATATTAAAAAAAGAAATTAAGCACACCAGGGTGACTAGAAATATTAAATTGTCCATAGTACTTGATTCACAGGATTTATGAGGAAACACAAAGGCCAAATTCCCTTAATCATCCAACACAATGAGTAAAACCAAATAATATAGTTCTGATGTGCATCAAACGATTGTTGAGCTTCACAAAATAGAAAGTGGCTGTAAGAAAATAGCTAAATAATTCAATTTCCACCATCAGGGGAATAATTAGGAAGTTTCCAATCAACTAAAGATGATACGAATCTGCCACACAGGAAATGTGTCTATATTGTCTATCAGGACAACAATCCAAAACAAACATCAAAATCAACACAAAAATGTGTCTCTGAACACAAAATGAAGTTTATGCCATGACATGTCCCAGTCCTCTAAACTGAACCCTATAGAAATGGAGTGGAGTAAACTGAAGAGAAGAAGCGGCAATAATCTGAAGGATCTGGAGAGATTCTGTATGGAGGAATGATCTCTGATCTCTTTTCAGTAGTTCTCCAAACTCATCAGTCATTATAGGAGAAAACTCAAAGCTGTTATCTTGGAAAAAGGAGGTTGCAAAAAGTATTTAATAAAAGGGTGCCAACAATTGTTGGAGAAAAGCATTTATTTCACAATGTGATTTACCCCCGTTTCAATTCTTTTACTTCAATGAAAGGTTTGATTTTTTGCTAAAAGGATCATCAAAAGGATAAACAATGCAGATTTATATTTACAGTTTTGGGGTTCTCTAATAATTCTGACCACAACTTTATCATCTGATCAGATCCTCATTTACCAAAACCACACACTTGCACAGACTGATGGTACAATTCTAGGTTTAAAAGTTCAAGTTCTACAAACAGCAGGGGAATGTACCTCCACAGGCATGTTGGACAGCGCTTCATATGCACTGTCATGGGTGATGGAGATTGTGTAGGTGGCTTTTTTGTTGGGCTCATCAAAACATGGAAAAGATTTACGAGCGTCTGTGGGTTCATGGTCTGTTGCAGCGATTTTCCTATAAAAGATCAGAGCGGGATTCATAAAAATCAAATAGGGGTTTACGTTTACCACATTGACCATGTGGGGAAAGTCCAACCACATTTTCATTAACATCTAATCAAGTTTGATTATGGCTAAATTAAACTCTCCGTGTGCAACAAAATAGTTTTTGGTGTTCTCTGCAGTTTTGCCCTTGCAAATGCTATAAAATAATATTAAAATTTATATTGATTCACATGCTCAATTCCTGTGTGATTTTTCAACATCATAGATAGTAAAGACTTTGTTGATTATGATATGATAGATGATCACCCATGATGCATGATACGAGTTGCTATTTCATAACATTAGGAATGCCATTCCTATTGTAAGCTTTGTTAACTGTTAGTATTTCTCAGATCTGAAACTGAAAGAAAAAAAAACTGAACAGTGCAATACAGTGCTAAAATCTATATTACTTCATGATCAAATAAGCTTTAACAGATGTAGATATCTCATTCTTGGCACCTTTCTGCTTTTGCTCCAAGAAATGAGTTTCAGATCAGTTCAGTTCAAATTTCACACCATTCCCAAATCAGATCAAATGTGACCCTACTTGTTGTAGCATTGTTAAATAACATTGTAATCTCTGTGGGATGTTCTACTATTTTTGATATCTCCCTTAGCGACTATAATTCAATTCTCTTTGAAGCAGAGGTCTCTGACCTTCTTATACAAACCGTGGGCTAAATTCAGACATTCAGTCCTGTCTCGTGTTATCTGTTCCCGGTTTACAAATAGCAGCTGAGATGTACAGTAATTGTGAGGAAAAAGTTTGATAAATAAGTTGGCATGTCATTTCTGGGACGTGTTGTAATATGGTAAAAGGTAATTTGCATGATTGGCATCTCACTGTTGGAGGCAAGCAGTAAATCTCAGGAAGTTTTTTTCACTGACACATTAATAATCAGGTTAACATCTAAAATTATTGCAACAATAATAGGTCACTTAGAATTCAGAGAGATAACCTAGGGTCTACTAAACAAGCCAGGTCATCTAAAGTTTTGGGTAACAAAGTTGCTGATAAAACAGTGCTGATAACAAAAAGTTTACCATTTGGTGTTGCCTGATTGTCCTGACATGGTCATGATTGAAAGCTGAGGAACTGTAACATCCTTGTAGAAGGGCCTGCTACTATAGTAACTATTACAGCGTTATAAAAAAAAGATCCATAATTAAATTTCATCACGTTAAACTTTGTGCAGAGTTGTAAAGTGTAAATGTATTTTACTATACGCCAGTATTGTTTTGTGGAATTTGTACCTTACTCGAGTACTACTAATGAAACTGAAAAATGTAGTTTCTTTATATACACTTTTTACTCTATAATTTAATTTAGACTTATTTATGCAGGTTCTCACAACATAAATACAAGCTTACAAGTCAATAAATTATGCTCCAAACTGATATAGTTAATGAAATCCATTTTAGTATAAACTGTATTTGGAAACAACATTGGTCATTCAGCCTCAAGAAGAAAAATCTCTATATAGCATTGATATACCTAAAGCAATGGATAATTGCTTATATTCAGGTATATAATAATATACCTAAAGCAATGGATGAACTTGACTCACTGATCAGTCTTTAAATAATTACTGATCAATTGTTTTTTCTGGTTCTTTTGGAAATCGATTGTCGCTTTGGTGCCACCATGTTCAATCACAGTGTTAGAGGGATATTTCACCCAAAAATGTATGCACCATCAAGTTGTTTCATACCTGTATTTATTTATTCTGCTGAATACAAAAGAAGATATTTTGAAGAATGTCAGTAACCAGACAGTTGATGGACCCCATTGAATTCCATAGTGTGGAGAAAAAAAATCATCTTTTGTGTTCAGCAGGAAAAAAAAAATCATACAGGTTTGGAACAAATTGAGAGTGCTGTAAATTATGACAGAATTTTCATTTTTCGGTGAACCATCCCTTTATATTGTTACAAAATATTAGCATATTAGAATCATATATGAAGGATAATGTGACACTATAGATTTGAGTAATGATGCTGAAAATTCAGCGTTACCATCACATGAATAGATAAAATTTTAAACTACATTAAAATTTAAAAATTTGTTTTAAATTACAATAATATTTCACAAAATTACCGTTTTACAGTATTTTTGAATGCAACCTTGGTGAGCATAAGAGGCTTCTTTCAAACACAATAAAAAACAACTATTGAACAGAAGTTTAAACTTTTTCACTTTCAATAATGTTTGATTTTATAATTCATTTAATTGTAACAGCACACATACTTTCAAGTATAATTTCTCAGTACTTTTCATACCTCTGGCCTACGCATAATGACTTATTACACCACAATTTTTTTTTTAATTCTACAATAGATGTTTTGAGGCTTACTTGGTAACTTCATTCTCCTGATATGTGGTCCTGTAGAAACCAACCAGAGAGCCATTGAGCCAGCCCTGGAAGTGAAGAGTGAGGACGTAGTGCTCGTCTGTACCAGTGACACTAAGCTGCTCGGCCGCCTCTACCACCACGTACTCCTGCGGCTTGTACTCAAAGCATTCCTTCACCCCGACAGAGGTCAAACCGGACGGGCCACTGCGCTGTAAAGTGGGCACCGCGGTGACAAAAGTCTCTCGGATGTGGAGCCACAGGTGCTGACTGGGCTGAGTGAGGTTCAGATGGATGGACACGCTCCCGGTGTAAGTATCCGTATCGAAGTCGGGCTCCAGATGCAGATCATAATGTGACGGCACCATGTAGTCAGGTAAGCGGAAATTGTTCCATCCGCCATTTGTGTTGTCGGATGGCTTGCAGGGACCACGGTTATCTGGCGGTGTTGTTGGTGATGGCGTTGGAGTTGGTTTGGTTTCGTCTTCGGATGAGGAGGTCTTCTGGCTTAAACCAACTCCGAGCCCCACGGCAACACCTGTCACGATGACGGCAGCGCAGATGATAGCAGCATGCTTCCCACGGATAAAGTACCGTTTTTCCTTCTTTTCGAACTCCAGACTTTCCATGGCAAGCCGTCAAACACAGACACAAGTGTCAGAATGTGTACAAACACTCAAAGTTCAGAAAGTCAGAACACTCTCTCCCTGTGAACCCACACACACACTATCCTTGCACTTCCTTTTGCCTCCAAAGAGAGGAAACAGCTGTGTCTGATTCCCAAATGTGTGTACATAGGCAGTCCAACACTCAATCATGCAGGGCAGCCTGTGGGAGGCTCAGAGGTTAAATCAGGAGTTAAGTTTCACCGCCCTCCAAAAAATTGCTCTGATGTCTGTAATGTCACAGCCACGCGGTTGTCAATGCGTTCACTGAGGGAAGTGATTGTCCTCCCACTAAAGGCAATACGTAAGGGACAAGGGCTGAATTTGTACCGCCCTTCAGTTAAACATAAATCAACATATGTTAATCAGCAGTCAAAAAGGAATGATCACAAACAAGCATCTGAGAGAGAAAAGTGGGGGAGGGAGGCATAGGAAAGCAAAGTAACATGGAAAGAGTTATTATGAGGAGAGGAAGAGGCTTAAGGGAGAGAACTGGGGAATGTTATGAAGCTGACACGGTTTTGAGTGACTGAACAAATAATATACAGGATTCAAAATGTAAATAATGAACAAATTTGTCAGAGATTAAAGTTTACAGTAGGTAGATGTGGTCCTTTATTCAGTCCATCATACGATCAAAAGGGACAAATGTGATCAGAGACCTTAAATGGGGGGATTTAAATACAATCACTCCATGTTAGTGACTGTACACAAAAACCCTGTATGTAAAGTTTAGATCACATGCATGTTTTCTTCCTGAATATAGTTGTATTTATTCATATTTGAACACAATTTTTAATCCAAACAATATATACTTGTTTGGATAAAAAAATCTCAGGTGAAAAACGGAAAAGTTTTCATTTTAATTTTTTACACGTATAGATGACATTGTTGTCAAAGCGATATCCGTTCACACGTATCTACGAAACCGATTAAAAATTCTGTATTATGCATGCCAGATCAGTAGTTGGCAATGTCATTTTGTAAAGAAAAACTAAGTGATTATAGACTGAACAGTGATGGTTTTATTGACAAGATTGTAGACCGGGTACAACTAGGAGAGTGAGACGATGTCAGGCAGGGAGGATGACCACTGAGACCAGTCCTGGGTGACAGCGGGCTTGAGGACTGTGGAGGAAGAGGTGGGATCAGGTGGGATGATGGTGAGAAAACCGGGCAGCAACACAAGGAACCAGCGGCTAGATGATCTCTCAGATGTAGCACCAGTCTTGCGGACAGATAGAGGCTCACAGAACCAGAGAATTGACTTTTGAGAACCAGACAGCTGCAGCAGTCTTGCTGGCAGACAGTGAGAGTCAATGGCCAGGAAATCTCAGGATACAGGGCAGGAACGAACACTCATAATGAACAAGACAAGACACAACAAGATAACAGACAGACAAGACAAAATAATAAATGTAACAAGAGGCTAAAGAAAATCTGATGCAAAACAGCTATGAATTAAAAGAAAACTATACATAAATGACTGAAACTTATAAATGCAGGGAAGCTGGAGATGAAAATCTTGAGCAGAAAAAAAAAATCACAGGAGAAAAAACAAGACTGGGATCACATGGGCAATTACTAACTAGAACAAGACTAGATGGGAAATAAAGTCTGTGAGATATAATAAAAAAGAGTAGAAATAATGGATCGATGCTCTGAGAAAGACAATAAGCTTTTACAGATATTAAGATGAATAATCTCACAGAATTTCGTCACCCTTTATTCGACCCAATATAAAGGTAATTTCAGAAGAAATTAGATCAGCTAAATTTTCACACCCTTAGTTGCACAGATACTGGCTTAAAATTTTAATCAACAACTACTAAGTTAGCTTAGATCTGTCGAGCCATATATTACAGAAGAGGTAGCCTATTTTATATAGCCTTCTTTGTCTGTACTTCATTGTATGTATCACTACTTGATGTAGGCCTATTCCAGTAATATTATTCACCATAGATTCTTCAATTAGATTGTGACTTTTATTAGGCTACTGGTATGATTAGAGTTTCATGTGAGGGAACATCACATTAACATGCTTTACAAAAGTACAATTTCAATTAATTTTTAAGTGTACGTTTACTTTAAATAAACATACTGCTTTTGTTGTGAAGTGTCTTTAGTTTAGAGCTGCCATCTGGTGGTCATGGCTGTGCAATGCCCCAAAAAGTAACCTTTTATTGAAATATACAAGCTCATTCATATGAAAAAAGAAACTTCTTGAAAGTACACATTTAAATGCATCAGGTGAGAATTAACATGGAGACATGAGGTGTTTGTTTTTTGTGAAGTGGATTTTCAGAAGCGATCAAAAAGTGTTTCTGTGACAGGTTCTGTACAGCTGTCCTGTCCCTTTTCATTTTGTCTCTGCTGGCTTTGGGGATTTTTATGACTCTCTTTGGAAGGGAGGGCTTTCCAGTCATGTTTCGAGGTAACAAAGAAGGTATCGCCTTGGATTTCTGTTTGGGTTTCCTCTGTGAATAGTCTGATTTTGCAACTCTTTGCTGTTGACTTGAGTTTTTTGAGTTTGCGTAATCCGCCATTATTCCGACCACATTCAGACTGACAATGGCCTCTGATATCCCTGCCATGTTTTGTGCTCTGCATCGGTACTCCCCTCCATCTCTATAGGATATTCCATTAAGACTGACCGCCGACCAACGGATTCCCACACGTGGAGACTCAAGTACATCTGCAGGCAATGATCAGACATTAAATCAGGTGAATTAAGATAACACTCACTTACATGACAGTTCACTGGCTGATAAATTGGTAAAATATGTGCACCAATGTGCTTTGAAGGGAAATATTTAAACACGAATAGGTTTAAAAACCAAGTGCACAGGTAAACGATTTCTGAGACACACTGTTTATATTTGAAATCAACCCAAACAAACGCACCCCTCCCTTCATTGCTCTGCCCCCAAAATGCACTATCATGCAATGCAAAAGTGGGTGTCTGTCTCTTTATCATATCAAAAGTGAAGCAAAATAAAGCGAAGAGGGTAAACTAAAGACAAGGAAGAACAAAAAATAAACATACAGCACACAAAAGTCTATACAAGAGTTTGCTGCGTTCTGTTACCATAGATATAACATAAGAAAAACAGCATATCTTGGTTCTGAGAATAGCAAAACCAGTTACTCATGTATGGAGCAGAAACAACGCAACCTCGGCATCCATTTTCAGGCCTTCCCACTTAGGTCTCTCCGGCGCTAGAAAGCTTTTCAACTCTGGCGCAAAACAAACCTTTGGTCTAATAACACATTGGTACCTAGTCAACCGTTCTCTGAGATTTGTTTTCATGATAATCGAATGTAAAACGCTATTAGGGCAAAGAGTAATGAAAAATAAAAATCGCTTGTTAATACCACTAACAAGGCTCAAAATAGCCCCACACAAACACAGTAACATAATGAGGGTCCCTACATGCAAACTAAAGCATTGAGAACTTTGTAAGTAGTACAGACAGTTTAATAAGACGATACTTTATAAAGACAGTCCACTTCACGTATACAGGCAGGAGCCATCTTTGGCTAAAACTCTTTGCATTCGATTATCATGAAAACAAATCTCAGAGGACGGTCGACTAGGTGCCAATGTGTTATTAGACCAAAGGTTCATTTTGCTCCTTGAATGCAGGTCCAAAAGCTCTTGCCTGATCATAACCCTTCTTTTCCAGTGATATTCCTCTGACCTTTTCTCTTTTGTAATGTCTCTCAGTCATCTCCTATACAGTCTTTCTTCAAATTTCCCTCTTGCTCACGCTCTCTCTCCTGTACCTAACATGAGTGGACACGCCCCCTACTGCTGATTGACAAGTGTGTTGTGGCGCTGGGTCTGATCCACTTTCAACTGCGTTCCTCAGAAATCGCTTACTGCACCATTAAGTGTGACAAAGTTCTAAAGGTAACTTACAGCCAGAAAGTTTTCTGGGCAATCTTTCGGAGTCAATGCTGCTTTGCATCTGCTTGCAACAAGCTTAAAATAAAGGAGAATATAGTTTAAAACTCAGAGATCACCAACTAAATTGTAATTCACAAATCTAACAGTCTAAATTTATAAAATAAAGTCTCATTTGTTAACATAAGGTAATGCATTAAATAGCATGAAATAGCAATATATTTTACAGCATCTTTTAACCTTAAACATTCATTTAACAGATACAACTTTTGATCTGACATATTAGTAAATGCTGAGACCTAAGATTAATAAATGCTGTAGAAGTATTGTTATTTCATGTTGACTAGTCAAAACTTACTGTATTGTGTTACCAAATTTTCCATTAGGTTAATATTCAATCAGCATAACAATCTAAGTGAAAAGTTCAACTGAAAAATGACCAAATTTCAGAATGTATTGAATTTAGTTTCACAAATTTGTTCATTTTAAGTGCTAACTTTTCTGTTTTATACTTCTTAATTCTAAACTTGTTTTTTTTTTTTATAAAAGTAAAAATAAAACAAGAAAGACACATAAGTTACTGTATACCAGAGAAAGAGACAAAACTGTTATTTAGTATTATTATAGTACTTTTATTTTGTATATTTTAATTTTAGTCATTTTGTTATGTGCTTTTGTCATTTTTATTAGTTTTTAAAAATATTTTTAATGAGCTTCAACTTAATCTTATGTTATTAAGTTGATGCCAATGGAAACATTTCTGATTTTTGTTCTTTCATCTAATATTTAGATTTTAATTTATTTCAGCTTTATTTAAATAAACATTAATTCAACAATAACAACTCTTGTGTATAGAAAATATGCTACATGAGTGTACAAGAAGATACCTTGGTTATAAAGGATGGGTCTGGCAGATTTTATCCACATAATTGTTGGAGTCGGGTATCCTGTTGCATCACAGCGAAGTAGAACATTGCTACCCAGTAAAGCTGTGATCTTTGTAGCAGAGGTCACCGCGAAGGGCCTGCGGCAGCGAGTGAGCTCCACACTCTGAAAGGGAACTCCAGCGAGATCTGGCGGTCCACTACAGGTCAGGAACCGATCCAACAGGACCAGAGAGGATTCCGGGGCTTTACTAATGTCAAGCAAGGTGGAAAGCCTACAGTCACACACCCAGGGGTTATCCTGAAGACCTGTGAGAGGAATGAAATGGATGAAGGGTGACGTGATGACACATTGAGTCTTCACAGGTATGCACTGATTACATAAACTGTTCTCTCCAGGGCTTTAGTTACTAACAGCGTGAGCCATTGAAAGGCTGAAAACTCTCAGATCGCACTTAGATATCACACATGTGTCTATGTAGGCTACACCACTCAGGTTGGGTAAATATTTCATTAACGTAAGACATTCATGACTTAATTTGGTTTCACTGACTTTGGTGGTGTCGATGTGTGTGTGGAACAGTTTGTCTAGTATTTATATGAGCGCCAATCAGGGTGTGTTACTGGATTATTATGTGCTAAAATAAAATCCCATTTATTTTGGCATACTGGTACAGTCAGTAGTAGACAAACTTGAAACTTGGTGCACTATATTGTACATAGTACCATCACTGACGTAGATTTAGTTATCATCAGTAACGTACAATGGCATTCTTCTAGATATGACCCTACAGATCAACAAAAGATCTATAGTGTGGTGTCTCCTCTTTATGTTTCACCTAGAACCACTGAGCGCTGGCTTTGAGTGGCGTCACTGAGCGGCCAGAGAGCAGTCAGATCATTGGGAAGGGTGCTTAGCCTGTTGCTCGAGAGGTCCAGATAAGTCACATTGCCAAGGTAACGCGCAGCCAGGGGTGGGATTCGTGCCAGGCGGTTATTGTGAAGTCCAAGTGTTCGGAGGTGGGGCACGTCTCTGAGTCCCTCCCAGGGGAAAGTGGACAAAAGGTTCCCGTCCAATCGTAACTCATGAAGGGAAGACAGGTTTGTAAAACTCCTTGGATGTAGAATGGTAATGGAGTTGTATGTAAGCCACAAATAAAGCAGTTCTGGCATGGCAGAGAAAGCACCTCTAAAGATCCTGGAAACGGAAGTGCGCTCTAGGCGAAATTTGACAGTATCAGATGGCAAGTCAATTGGAATGGCAGTCAAGGCTGGGTTCTTACAGAGCACAGTTCTGAGAAAAACACAAAACATAATATATAAATAGATTAATAATATAAATATACATTAAAGTTAATGTATATATAGGCCCGTGTGTGAGGTCAAAATATTTCCTACGTAAATAAAATATTCAAATCTGATTATCCTTTGTTGTTAGGACTGCAGAAACAACCTGTTTATACTCAGCAAATCAACACTAAAAAATTGCATTTAAAAGTGGTTACAGCATTAGCCAGGATAATTTATCATATTGCAATATAAGATAAATTGATAAGATAAGATAAATTGGCCTTTATAAGTAAAAAAATGTTTGGGTGTTTATAGTATTGTGCATTTTGCTCTGTTTTAGTGTTGAATGAAATGTCTTAAAACTTAACAGGTACTAGTAATTTTCTGTGCTCACATATAGTATTTCCTCTAAAATTATGAATACACCTGTCTCACACTATGACATATTGCAAGAAACCTGTAACAAGACAACAAAAGAGTAAAGGAGAGAGCTTGTGAATTTAGGATCAAAGACTTGACCAGGCAAAAAGATTACAGAAAAAACTACCTGAGTCCTTTGGAGTTGCTGCGATCATGGAGCACACAGGTGCACAGAGACGGGCATGATGGACTCTGTGCACGGACCACCAACGCCAAGCACAGAGTGAGGTCTGCATATAGAAGAACTGGATGCATTGCTCTAAGAGACATAAAGGACCTCATACACTACTGTTAGGAAAGGGCAGGAGTCTGAGCACGAGTGTGACATTCCCAAACGCCGTCGTAGATTAAGACAAAGTCTAAAAGGATTAGTTCAGATTACTCTGGAGCAGATCAACACCTGTAGTCAGTGAAGTAAAGAAACATGCTTTACAATAATAATAAATAAAATGGAAGATGCATTCAATTAAATTTAAATAATGTGTTTTCTAATGGACAATATAATGCATATAATGGACCGATATAATGTTTGCTAGCAAATTGAATATAGCCAATGCAAAATTCCAATATTGCTAAGCAATTACTGTTCCATCTTTAGTGTTTTCTCTCGCCATTGGAATCCTATAATTTAGCCTGAAGCTATGATGGCCACTTTTAAAAATAATAGATTATGCAAATATTTGTTTGGATCATTGGTTCCGAGCTTGTTTCGAACCCGCCCAGTCACAGGATTTTAGAAAACAAGAGGTGTGTTCTACTTAAAGCAGACCGATAAGTGTATGACATAAAATTACAACGAGAGCGATCCTTTCGAATCACTCACACGGTACTTTGATGTCTGTCTGCACAGCGCCTCTTCAAGTCGAACACACCTAAGGCTTTGTTGTCATTGAAAATCGGCATTTAAAAATTCCAATGGTTCACCTATAGGGGGCGCTAATTTGTTGAACACACGCGGACAAGTGTATTAAAGGATAAGGATTTTTAGTTGCTTCTAAATACCCCAAAGCCTTGTCTAACACAAAACAAGCTCTACACATTAAAGAAAAAACTTTTTTCTATTTTGAGCGGAGCTGGGTAACGTTAGGTCTCTGTGGCTCCACTCATACACTAAACTCCATTCCGGTATTCGTGTGTGATACTTTAGCTTCTTGTGAAACAATTTTAGTAGTTGGAGAAGAAATATTCTAACTAACTTTACAATGACAAAATGTGGTTAATAATTTTGGCTGCAATAAGTTGAAATAAATTAACACACATTTTTTTTTTTGACATGATGCACAAGGTGGTGTTGGAGTCCCTCCCTCTGAGTCTGATCTCGGATGACTGCAGCGGTAGAGACAGCAGCAGCTCTCGCTCTCTCTCTCTCCTCTGACCGACAGCAGTAGAAGCATGGCGACGGTGGACACACGGGAGTGCGAGACGGAAGGCTGCTCCAGCGAAGCTAAGCTCCAGTGTCCCACCTGCATCAAACTCGGAATTCAAGGCTCATACTTTTGCTCTCAGGTGAAGCTCTGACACTTTGGATTAAGAAACAAGCGAAGCTCTTGGGTTTTGTAGCGCATGTCACGCTTGCCGGCCTACGGGTCTTGAGCTCAGCATTAGCTAGCTAGCTGTCGTACTGTACATCACAAACAGCCACTTTAGCCCTTGCTTTGAGCTTTGACGTTTGCATTAAAGTTTTGTCCATGGTGTTTTTCGGGATGACATATTAGTCTGAGATGTTAAACCCTAACACGGAGTGAAAATGTAAATTAGCGAGGTGTTTCTCTGCTCAACGTGCTTTAAATGACTTCAGCTCAGCGTGGCCCGCTTGCTGCTCAGTTGCTAAATCATACCAGCCCCGTATTCTCTAAAGGTACATGACAACATGATGCATAAATCTGTGTAATCTATAAGGGAGCGTAGATTTAACCCTGACCCTCGTCATCCTCGTATGATTTGCTGGGCTCTCCTATGTCTCAAATACTAGTGAACTGCTACATTGCCATGATGGACAAAATGCTGTCCTGGTTGGCAGCTCACTGGGTTTTAAAAAATGCTCAAACGTCCACATTTGCAGCGCTATAATTCACCCTTTTATGTAATTCTAAGATTGTATGAAATTCCTCTGTGGAAACATTTTTTTTTTCATGCACTGAAAGTCAATTAGGTTCTATGTTGTTCTATGTGGTTCTAAGTCATACAGGTTTGGAACAGCATAAGGGCGAGTCAGTGATGACGAAATTTTGTGATTTTGTATGAGCTCTCACTGTCATACTTTAATATGGAGAAGTGCTGAGCTTTTATTTCTAATTTTGCTAAAGTACATGATTCAACTCGCCTGTAATTAGTATGATAGTATGATTCAATGTAACAGTTGAGTAACATCATTATCATGATTTTTTTTTTATTTGATTAAAAACCCATGAAATTACATGATAAACACAGTTTACTGTGTGTATGTACTTCCTTATCAAACAGAAAGCTAGGCATTTAAAAAGTCTTTACTTTAAAACAAGAGGATTGTGATTTGGGTGTCATTTTTGGACAATAATTTGGATATTCCGGTTATATTCATTGCAAGACCATCACTCAATCATAATATTTGATCTGTTTACTGGAAGAGAATGTTACATTTTAAATGCTATAATATTCACTACCATTCAAAAGTTTAGGGACTGTAAGATAAAAAAAATTTCTTTCTTTTTTTTTAAAGAGGTCTTTTATGTTCACCAAGGCTGCATTTAGTTAATCAAAAATATAATAATGTGGCAAAATATTACAATTTAAATGAACTTTTCTAATATTATAGTTGTATCTATAATAGTTGAAAATGACTGTATATTCTTATAATATGTATACAAGTCTTAATTTTTACATGATCCTTCAGAAATCCGGACTGATTTGGTGCTCAAGAAATTGCTTATTATTGATGTTGAAAACCATTTTGTTGCTTAATATTTTTGTGATATCTTTAATGAATAGAAAGTAAAAAAAATTGTAACAAATGTCATCACTGTCACTTTTGATCATTATAATTATATAGATATATATAATATAGTGTAATTTTGACACTAGCAAATACATCAACGTTAATAGAAACTTAAATTTTGAGGGCCTTTAAGAAGTGAAATTGTTTGAGTAATAACTTCTTTTACTCAAAAAAGTTCTTGTATGTTTTCAGGAATGTTTCAAAGGCAGCTGGGCCACCCACAAACTGCTCCACAAAAAAGCAAGTATGTGTGTTTTATTCACTCTCGCTGTTCATGAGTGATGTTCAATTCTGCATTTTGTATTCTCTATAGTCCAGACAAATCCAGTCTTGCTTAATGCCATCATTAATGTCTGGTGTTTTATTTGTAGAGGAGGACAAAGTAAACGATGAGGGAAAGAACTGTGTGGAGAAAGAAATCAACACAGACCCGTGGCCTGGGTACAGATACACTGGTAAACTACGACCCCACTATCCACTGGTAAGGGCACAGCAGACTAGAAACGGACGAGCACAGACATCATAAAAATTGCATTGAATTTGCACCACATTCACTCATGTGATGCTTTTCTTCTGCATGGTACGGCTCTCTTTTGGGGGTTTTCAATTTTTTTTTGGTTGTTTTCAGACACCCATGCGACTTGTTCCTAGCAACATCCAGAGACCAGACTATGCAGATCATCCTTTGGGTAAGATTGCAAAACCCTTCACACATACATTTGACCTCATTTTGTAAATTATGCTCCACAACACTCAAATTGACTTCTTAAACCTAGACTAGCTTTCTTGCCCCAAGCCCTTCATTTGAGTCATTGCACTATTCCGACCGGCTGCCCTGTTTGATACGCCTGTATGAAGTTTAAACTTTTGAACCTTGCAATATGCCACTGATATACAAGCTTTTAAAATAATGTTCTCACTCTCCATCTCTGCAGAATGTTTGCTGCAAATGTGCATCTATTCTGACCACATTAAACCTCTGTTTATTGTATATACACACATTTACAGTAGATGTGCAAGAGTAACCTCTGTTTACTGAAAACTCTAACTCTGTTTTTTGATTGGTATTTCATTGGTGTATCATCTGTATTATTAGGATTTGGAGTTGAATAAACTCAGAATCTTGTGTTTGCTATTGGGAAGTGAGAAAATGAGGCCAAATGCATGGTTAAAAAATTAACTTTTTTCCTTTTTAATGTTTTCTATTTTCATATAATTTAAAACGCAATTTATTCCTCTGATGCAAAGCTGAATTTTCAGCATTACTGCTGTCTTTGGTGTCACATGATCCTTCAGAAATTATTCTAATATGCTGATTTGTTGCTCAAAAAACATTTGTTCATATTATCAAATGTTTATTATTAATTGTTCATATTATTTTGAATACTGATGCATGTTTTTCAGGATTTTTTGTTGAACAGAAAGTTTAAAAAAAACAGCATTTATTTGAGATAAAAAAAAAGTTTGTAACATAAATTGCTTTGACTTTTGATGAATTATTTCTTGCTGAGTAAATGTGAATTCACAAGAAATCACAAAGACCTCAAACTTTTAAACGTTAGTGGGTTCATAAAAATGATAGATTATCTATAACCTTCTAGTTACTATGCTAGTGTGTCTGAGAACCATGAAAACAGGAAGTTCTTTGAAAAGGTGTGGTTTTATTTGTTTGCAGAAGCCACTCTGTTATTTTTATTTAATGTAATGAAACGCAGACGTGTTTAAAGGTGCAGTGTGTAATTTTTAGCGCACCTAGTGGTGAGGTTGTGAATTGCAACCAACAGAAGATACGGTGGCCGACAGGAAAAGATGTCGTCATTGCAGACAGCAGAGAGTAGCCAGTTACACAATTAGATCTTTACAAAGATCAATTAAGAAATTGTTTGCTTAATTATTCAGTGAAATGATATTTTATTGCAAATATTATTGTTACTTGTTCATCAATGTGTCAGTGTTTTATTTGCTGTCTTTAGCTAGTTTCTTTGCACGAAGAACAACATGTGACAAAGTGACGAAACATGCTCTGTAGTAGTGTCCTCGTTTAAGTTAACTGGCTATTTTAATGTAAGGAGACCCGCGATGAACATAGTAATGGATCATTCTAAGGTAATAAAAATAACAGTTCATTATGTAAGGTACACCACTGAAAACATAGTTATGTACATGATATTGCATTTCTGTCAACAGATCCTCCTAAATATACACAATGCACCTTTAAGTGTGACTTAAGTGTTTGAATACTTTTTGGGGTCCCTGTAAATGATGTTCATGATGAAACGATTTTTCAAACAATGATAGATGGTACACGTCTTTAAAGTGTAAATTGCAGGTTAACCACCACAACCAATTAATTTGTGAACTAAACTGCTCAATATGTATATATTTATAAGGTTCTGTCTTAAAATGTGTTAATTTTATGAAATTTATTGGGGTTTCTTCAAAGTTTGCATGTTTTTTTACAGTAACTATGTGATGGCGTCATAAGAGGGAGCGCGGGCGGTAATGCACTCGCTCTGCGTTCGGGTTGAGGGAGAATAAAACGATTCGTGGTACTCCCGCAAACTAGAAATATCTATGAATTAAACATAAAAACAAATACATTTTTATTCATCTGTTGCAGAAAAGCAACTAAAACAACTAAAACAAAATAAAAACGATTTACAAAAATGAACCTTCAATGTGCACTTTAAGAACGAATCATGAATCTCTGTGTATTGTGAATAAATGCTCATTTGTCCCTCATTAATGGATGCTGCAGAGTCTTCCCGTAAGTAACCATTACATTGGTGATTAGTTGGTTTTAGGCTCCTATAGTTACAGCCTCTCATTCCTCTGTTAATTAGCTCATCCTTGAGTCTCCTGCCCCTGGCTTTCAAACAGCATAATAGTGATGTATTGAAAAAGCCTGAATGTCTTCAAAAGCATCCCCTGGTTAGGTCAGGAATATGTGCCCATTTTTAACAGTTCATTCAATTGCACTTCTTTGTGAGAGCGTGTGCGACGGTCCTGAAGTCACTCTATACACGTTACCATTTATTTCCGTGTATGTGTGTGTTTGGGGGTGGGCTGCTGCAGTGTGTGTCTGAAGCTCTTCTCTTGCTCTCTGCAGCTGCAGAGGTTGGGTTGTTGGCAGGTACGAAGCCCCGCCGCTTCCCATGTGTGTCTAGCCAGTGCTGTCCTCTTGTTTTAATAGTATTACAGGGAGCGGTTGGCTCCGCAGTGGGTGTGTGAGTGTATTTTTGTGAGCGAGAGTGTGTCTGTGTAGTAGCATGGCTCTGTTTGTTTCTGCATGGCTGATATCGTCACACAGCTGGGACTAGAGGTGGGCGATATGACCAAACTTTATATGACTTTTGCTGAGAATTCAATGAAATATGGAAATATATTTTTTAAATGCATCTCTTTTTGCATTACTACAAAAGGGCTTTTTACTGTTTGCATAAAGGCTCTAGCATTTCGCATCCTCATAATATATTGCCGCCGATAAAATCAAGTGTTGGCCTATTGTATGCTCTCTTCAATCTAGTTGACACTTTTTCTGTCACTATTTGACATTTTTTTCCCCCAAACGCTGAAACGTTACTGTTTATACTATGCTAATGTTTCTGTGACTGTCCAAAGTATGTGAATATAAGGCATGCAATTGGCTATTTGTTGCTAAGCAGCATCTAGCCGTAACATTATGTACACGTTTGGCACTGCAATGCTCTAGAGCCCGGGTAAAACGCAACTCTAACCCCACTTGTAAACATTTTGTGAAACGTTTCTCTACCTGGGGTTAAAAAAAGTGCTTCGAACAATAATAAACTGTGATTAAGTGCAGTATGAAAAGCCCCATAGAGTGTCTTTGTCGCTATACTAAATCTCTATCTCTACCGCCACACGATATATAGTCATACCGCCCAGCCCCAGCAGGAACTGTCTGTGATCACCACATTGCCAAACTGTCATGTCCTAGACCTCACTAGATCAGCGACCGTGTGTGTGTGTGTGTGTGTGTGTGTTTGTCTCTAAGAAGTGGTTATGTGATCTTCATTAGCTGACTGGAGACTGTGCTGTTGAGATTCTGTTGTGGTGAAGGTCAGTAGGCAGAGCTAGTCAATATATGAGTGATAGTAAGATGCTTTTGTGGGTAGATGGGTATCGGTGTATTTTACTGCTCACCAATTCACAAATTCATCACGTCTTTCAGGAATGTCAGAGTCAGAGCAGACCATGAAAGGGACGTCTCAGATTAAGATCCTCAACGCTGAAGAGATTGAGGGCATGAGAGTTGTCTGCAAGGTAAATCAACATCTTAACTCCACTAATAATAACTTTGCATGCAGAATACAGGAATCTGTATAGTTAATGAACTAACTTTAATTTTGTGTTGTACCTGAATGAATAGAATTATGCTGTTAATGTGTGTAACATCCAAAATACAATTCAAGAAAGATTGTCCTATATTAGAATTTGTCCCATAAACTAACGTAAATTATTATAATTTCTTTCATGTAATGCAATGCACCAGTTTTAGCAAATCAGCTTGAAGGTTTTTGAAATAAAAACAGGAATACTGATGTATAAACAAATATAATAGATTTAATTAGGATGCATGGGGTGAGACATTTTTCTGCCTCCATTTAACTTCTAATTGCTCTGCTGCTATTTGTTCTGCCTTTGTTTTTAAAAAAAAAATGTAATTAGTCATTTATGTGTGGGGAGAACCTCAGAAAAACAAGATAAATTCACACATTTTATGCAAATCAGCTGAAAAATTGGCTATCGTGTCTATCATGACATGAGCAGATGAGATTTGAATTGTTGACTATAAAGACTCTTTCTTAAGCACATTTAAAAACAACCATGGGTTGACCAAAGTGCTTTACATAGTATAAGAAGAACAAAGGTATTAAATATAAAAAAATTACAACGCAGTATAATAGACCTATTTGACCAACATCATCTGTTCAAATAAATAGGATTTTAGCATAGACTTAAAAACTGAAAGAAGTTCCTGAGTGTTGGGCGAGCAATAGCAAATGCTTGATCCTCTTCTTAAATGTCCTGATCGTTGAGCGATGCACAACTCGGCAAGATAGACTGATGCAAGATTATGTAATGATTTAAAAAACAAAATTAAAATGCAACCACTGCTTGGGAATCAAGATAGGGGTGATGTTCTGAAATTTACATGTGCCATTTTCCTCCTTCAGCTGGCTCGAGAAGTACTTGACATTGCTGCCATGATGGTGAAACCTGGAATGACAACGGAGGAGATCGACCATGCGGTGCATTTGGTAAAACTTCACAAACTTTTCTCTTTAAATACTGGTTAGCTAAGGGGAAATGTGAAATTGCTGATGCCTTCATATGGAAATTTGTCTCTTTTATTTGTTCTAAACCAGTGGTTCTTTACCTTTTTGACTCAAAGTACGACTGACTGAGAACCACTGCTATAAACGTAATGGTTCGTGCTGGACTACTTTTTGCTAGTTTCCTTCTAGGAAAAAAGAGCATATTTTTGACATTTATTTGAAAATATTCTTAATGAATACATAGATTGCTCTAATAAACTCTACTTTTGTTATGGTTTGAGTAGGGCTGCCTGTATATTGTGTTATGTTGTGTTGATGCCAATGTAGTGTCTCCATGTTTACTGGTTAAGGCGTGTATAGCGAGGAACTGCTACCCCTCTCCTCTGAACTACTATAACTTTCCCAAGTCCTGCTGCACCTCGGTCAATGAAGTCATCTGTCATGGGATACCTGACCGCCGTCTCCTTCAAGACGGGGACATACTGAACAGTATGTATCAAAATGCATGTGCACATATAGTACATGCATCTTACTTGCAAGATTTCACAGGAGATCTTATTTTTGACTATACACAAGAATGTACACACTCTCCCTCTAAATTTAAAAATATATTACATTTAGTCCATATGTCAGCTACACATTTACTAGGCATTCGAGATCTGTGTGATTTTTTTTTTTTTCTTTTTTTTTCTGTAAATGCATTGGCAGTGTCCAGACTGATGTTTTTTCCTCCTGCTCAGTTTATGATCATGATCTTAGCTGAATGCATAATCAAATCGTTTTGCGTCACTGTGTGTAGTTTTGTGCAACAGAAAAACATTCAGACTTAAGTTGATATTCACTTCATATTACATGCTCACCTGACCAATCATATGTTATTTTTCCTCTGCAGTCGATATAACGGTTTACCACAATGGTTACCATGGAGATCTGAATGAAACTTTTTTTGTGGGTGAAGTAGATGAGGGAGCCAAGAAATTGGTTCAGACCACTTATGAATGTCTTATGCAAGCCATCGACTCTGGTGAGAATTAAACTACTTGCAAACAAGCTCTAAACATGCTATGTGAATTAGACATTTTATTTGGATGATGTGATGTAGTGTACATCTCATCAGTCTGATGTGATGTACACTAATGACCTTTAGAGGGCAGACTTGCACAGTGGGATGTCTGTGTTGTGATCTGAGTTTTTTTTTTTGCTGTCTTGTCTAGTAAAGCCTGGTATTCGGTATCGGGAGCTAGGGAACATCATTCAGAAGCATGCCCAGGCCAATGGTTTCTCTGTGGTACGGAGCTACTGTGGTCACGGCATTCACAAACTATTCCACACGGCACCAAACGTACCGCACTATGCCAGTGAGTAACATCTCGTCCAGTTTGACTCTGAATGATAGAAACATTGCACACTGTGATGTGATTCAATCTGCAGAGGTTGCAAACACTCATAAAGCTTGTACTGTCCTTGTTTTATGTATTTCTACAGAGAATAAAGCAGTTGGAGTGATGAAGCCTGGACATGTGTTTACTATTGAGCCCATGATCTGCGAAGGTAAGAACAGTGTTTAAAATGTAAGGCTGTCAAAGTTAGGGTTTTCACAAAAATAATAAGCAGCACAACTAATTATAACATTAATAATAATAAGAAATGTTTCATCAGAATATATTGTTGATAATTCATCTTTCTCATCACAGGATTAAATTCCATTTTAAAATATATTAAAAATAGAAATTAGTTATTTTAAATTATAATAATATTTCACTATATTACTGTTTTAATGTATTTTGTTCAAATAAATGTGCCCTTGGTCAGCATAAGGGACTTTTTTTCAAAAAATCTTGTCCGTAAAAACATTTGAATGGTTGGGTATTACTTAACTATTTTATTTTGTACACCTACAGTATTCTTGTGTATCATGCAGACATATCGGTGAACCCATCAACTCCAAAAGTTTTCATTCCTTCAACATACGCTCAACTATATATAAAAAGTAGAGTCAGTGTGATTTAAATATTATAATCAATTGATTAGTAAAGAGTCTTTGCTCTGTGCAGGTGGTTGGCAAGATGAGACGTGGCCAGATGGTTGGACTGCAGTCACTCGTGACGGCAAACGCTCGGCCCAGTTTGAGCACACGCTCCTTGTGACGGAGACTGGCTGTGAGATCCTCACACGTCGCCTTGAGGATAATGGCCGTGCTCACTTCCTGTCCCAAATGTAGGATGGTGGGGTTACATCAGCCCTGTTGTGCAGTGAAGGATACAGCAGCTCTGCCCCATATCACCAATCAGCCAATCACATTGTGGTTCTCTGTTGGGCAGGAGATGATTGGCCAAGTGGCCATATCAGTGGATTTGGGCAGGAGATGGAGATTTGGTAACTTTTGAATGTGTGTCACCTGGCAGTCACATTAATCAGCTTGGATCTGAGCAAATTCAAAGGCACTGGCCTTTAGCCTGGTTTCAGTGCCACCATACTCTGTCTACAAGGCAGAGGAATCTGCGTGAGTGGTTTTGCGTGTACGCATCTGTGTGTTTATGAGAGTGTGTTGGCTGTTTGAGGTTTGCTGTCTCAGTCTGCTTCAGTGTGTTTGTATGCCTTGGCTCGTTGCAGTGTACCGGGTCTGTTTTGTAAGCCATCGTTGAGGTTTGAGATGCAACGAGTGTATGTGATTAAACCCTGTTGAGTCTCTCCAAACCTTATCAAATCAAGATTGATATGGAAACTCTTTACAGCTGAAAGAGTGCCTCGTAATGATATTGAACATTTACACAAATGTTTTTCATGAACTTCCACCAGTGTAGTTAAATCAATCCAATTTGAGTGAAAATGTCACCAAGGGAAACATTAGGTTAGGTACAATGGTGTAATATTTTGTGATGGGGAGAGGATGGCCTTTCTGAATGTCCTCTCACTGCATTCATCCTCCTTAGTCAGTTACAAGATGATTTTTGTTTGTCTTTGGTTGTTTAATGCCACTTGAAGAGCAATGCGAAAGTCAAAAAGTCAACAGTTGCAGGCCTCTTTGTCAGTTTGATGCATCTCATGGAATCAATTACAGTGTTTCAGTATTCAAGCTGAATTAAAGTATATTTTCTCCTTTATTTGGACTTGTTAGTTTTTTTAATGTACAACAAATGCCAAACTTCAAGCAGTCACAACAGAATGCAATTTCAGCAATGACTTATGAAAGCAGGTGAAAAGATAATTCAAGAAGTTCCTCTGTATTGAATTGTTGTTGCTTTTGGTGAAACAATTAAATTTTGTGCCATGCAGAACTGGAGTACAAGATTCAATCCATCATTTTAGTTCCACACCTTTCAGAAATAGTCACAGTATATTAATAGTATTAAGGTTGTCTGCTTTAAATCTGTGCAATCCATTCCTATCTGTCTTAAACTGTGGTTTAGAAGTTGGATGAAGATAATTAGCTTCTCATTTGGATATATTCAGTATGCACCGAATGCTGTAATATAGAAAAAATTGTTAAAACTTATGACGGGATTAACTCGAGAAACAAAAAAAGGCGAGAAATATACCATTGTCCAGTTTTCATGAGGTTGATGGCATCATTGATCTCCTCCAGATCCATTTTGTGTGTTTTAAACTCGTCAACCTTTATTTTCCTGGACATGTAGTCTTGAACCAGTTTTGGAATAGAGTCCTTGACCTTAAAACCTTATTCACATAATTAACTGTCATCTGAGTCTTATATCATCATCATCATCATCATTATTATTGCATTAAATTGATCAGACAATACTATTTAAACTTAACTGTAGATGTCTTTGCTTTGTACTTTTTTTTCCCGGCGATCAATAGGTCAATGAAAATGAGCGTAAAGGTATAAAGGGACTGAAGTCATATTAAAAATGCATTAACTGCTCTGCAGCACAAATGAAAAGAAATTAAAAGACAAGTTTACGAACCTTCCCTGCAGTGGCCATTTCCCAATGTAGTCGTTGCTGAGATGAATCTTTGGCACTCGCTTTTATACTCTGGTTTTAAATGGATGAAGCAATCTCTCTCTCTCATACTGATTTAAAATTAAGCTATGATTATAGTAAAGATATATAGACGTTCCCTGAGATAGTTGGTTTCTGATGTGCATTGTGTAAATGTAATCTTATGAGAAATTCAACTGTTTCTTTTTTGTAAGAGACATTCACTGTTTCATAATGAGCTGCTTAAAGTCCCCATGAAATCAAAATCAATGTTTTTTTTGGCTTTTAGCATGAATATTTCCCAAGACATGTTTAAGAGGAGAATGAGGGGTGCCCCTCCCTCCACAGCGGAGAAAGCTGGACCAATTAATTTTAATTTAATGAATTAAACAGCTCATAAACTCTTTATTACTAGGAATAAATAAATAAATACCTGTTGAACATGAATGCATTGTGACATTTCTCCTTGTAGGCCTATATAGAACCTTTTTGCCATAAAGGCTTCTTTAAAACTGAGTCAAGTAGGCTTCTGAAACCCACTGAACCTTTGTGTCCCTACCAATGATGTGCATACTATCCATCCTAAATGGTATGAATAAGTATGTCCCAAAGCAAAGTATTTTGAAAAGAGTATTCCAAAAGTCCCCGGATGGTCTACTATTTCTGGTAGTTGAAGACCTTTCTGGTGTACACTACAACAGTATACTAAAGCATTTGTCTGATGCGATGTACACTAATGACCTTTAGAGGGCAGACTTCCACAGCGGTGATTTTTTTTTCCTGCTGAAAAAAGTGATTTTTTTTTTCTGCTGTCTTGGGTGGTGTCTGCTATCGTAACTCAGGGAACATCATCCAGAAACATGCCCAGGCTAATGGTTTCTCTGTGGTACGAAGCTACAATGCATTCAAAAACTGTGAGTAACATCCTGTCAAAAAGACACATTCTGAGTGATACGAGCATTGCACAATGTGATGTAATCAGACCTGCAGAGATTGCAAATATTCATCAAGCTTGGACTGTCCTTGTTTTATCAAATGTCTTTATATGGTGAAAAAGCAATTTTGGGGAAAGTTTTATCTTACAATATTGTGTAACTAGAAACATTGTTTCATTACGCTACTTTTTTTCTCTCCTGGGCTGGCCTCGTTTGTTTGTTTGATTATTTAGGTCTATTTTTGGCAAATACGCATCAAATTATTCACAGAATGGAGGAAATTCAAATTCCTGTTAATTTCTGTTAAATGGATACTTCACTTTTTTGGAAATAAGCTCATTTTACAACTCCCTCAGAGTTTAACAGTTGAGCTTTACCGTTTTCGAATCCATTCTGACGATTTTCTGATATTTAGAAGAATATCAGTAACCAAACAGTTTCTGGTTTCATTGACTTCCATAGTAGGAAAAAAATATACTATTCATTCGAATACATTCGAAAACGGTAAAACTCAACTGTTTAACTCTGGGGGAGTGGTAAAATGAGCCTATTTCCAAAAAAAGTGCAGTGTCCCTTTATTGCCGGTTTGTGTAATATTCTGAGTTTGCATTTCACAGTTTTTATTCATTTTGAGGAGTACTGAATCTTTTTTGTGTGCAAATGAGATGAGTAAATACATGTTCAGATTTAGTAACCATCAATAACCAATAACAATGACCATCATATTTAAACCGCACAACGCCTCTGCACTTACTCCTGGTTTCTACCATGGGGACAGGAGAAGATGTGTCAGTCAATAAAAAAAGGAAGTAACTTGCGCTACTTATTACAAAATTAACTCGGATATTTTGTTGTAAATTTAAAAGTAATGCTTTACTTTATTAGTTACTTGAAAAAGTAATCAGATTACATAACTCGCGTTACTTGAAGTGCGTTACCCCCAACACTGATGAGGACTATGAGGTGAGGCAATACCAAAGCAAGCATCTGTGTAACAGTTCTTGTGGATTGTTTAAATGTCTATTAATATGTGAAAACAGATGCTCAGAGGGTCCACAAATGAATCACCTTAAAAGTATCAAACGTGGTGGCTGTGTGAGTTTTGCTGTCTCAGTTTGCTTTAGTCTGCCTGGCTCAATATTGTGTTTGTTTGGTACAAATTCTTAAATCTTATCAAATTATGATTGATATATGAAAACTCTTCAGTGCTGAAAGAGTGCCTTGTAACTCTATTGAGCATTGTACAAATGTTTTTCATGAACTTCTTCCAGTGTTCACAAGGTTCAATTAAATTGATCTTTGAGTGAGAATGTGCCTGAATACAAATGGTTTAATTATGTTCTGAACATTGCCACTTAAAGAGCAATGGAAAAGCCTGAGAAGCAGCTGCAAACTTGTTGGTTTGATGCAGATACATTTCAGTTTGCCGTATATTTTCTCCTTTAACCATTTAAAATGAAGGGTGAATCTCCGGCAATTATTACAAAAAAATAATAAAGGATTGAAATCATAAAATGTTAGATTAAATATATAGTCAAAAGCAGCTGAAAACATTTGTGTCGTCTAAGCAGTTTGTGTATTGAATTATTGCTATTTTTCACATCGGTTCAAACTTTTAGTTTTATCTAAACCGTTCAGAAGTAGTTTCAGTACGATAAACTGGCATTGAGCATGTCTGCATAAGATCTGAGCAATCTATTTTCATCAATTTGTCTTAAACATTTTTAGAAATGTTTTTTACAAAATCATCTGAGAAAGACATGCTGTAAAGTATTTAATATGTGTATCAGTGTTTGGAGCAGTTTGCCAGGTTATGAGTTCAAGCTGCAGGGTGCAGCTGCACGTTTTGGTGCTTCCCAACATTCCCATGATTATTATGTAAGCAAGACAAATGCTGGAGAGTCTGGCTTTGAGGAGAGAAATAAACTATTTTGACGGCATCGTAAATTGGTTTGACAAAACCACTTGAAATAATTTACAAGCTTGTCTCTTTTTTATTTGCCACAGATAACATTTTCTTTGAAAACTCAGAGCTATTTTGCCTTGCAGACGAATAGAAGTTTTTAATGCCAAACATTAACGTTTACATGCTCTTGTGACTCAATTCATAAAGCAGAGGCCTGGAAAATGCTATTAAAGAGAATCCTTGAAGCTCTTTCTTGAAGCTGGTTCATGTACTGCAAAGAGAGAAAACAGAATGAAGGGAATATAACCATGGCCTTGAATATGATTGGGTGAAGATAATTTGCTTCTCATTTGGATATATTCAGGATGGTCCGAATGCTGTAAGATAGAAAACAAATGTTAGTTCTATGTTTATACAAATGGATTTTTCCAATATTAACCTCAGACACAGAAAATGAGAGTGAAGTACCATTGTCCAGTCTTCATGAGATTGATTGCATCGTTGACCTGCTCCAGACTCATTTTGTTTGTTATAAACTCGTCAAGCTTTATTTTGCCAGACATGTAGTCTTGAACCAGTTTTGGAACTGAGTCCTTGCTCTTAAAACCTTTACATAAGCAAAAATGAATGAACTGTGCACAGGTATGTCCTCAAGTTCCTTCTCTGAAAGCATTAACTGACAGCCTGCTTACCACCAAACAGAGATCCTTTCCAGGTTTTTCCAGATATGAGCTGAATTGGTCGTGCAGAAAAGTCCTTCACATCAGTCCATCCAACCATAACACTCACACCCCAACCTTTAACGCACGACTCCAGTGCGCTCCTCTGAGGTCAAAGATGCATTAATTCACACCGAGAAAGATTGCAAGTTCTGAAAGCTTTTAAATAAGTAAATAAATCCAGCTTTATTCGTATTGTAGACTAGTGTACAAGTCGGTGAGGTCTTACCATTACTTCAGTGTTTCCCACACACTCGAGTGAGAAGTCCACTCCTCCATTGGTCATTTCTGCCAGTACTTCAGAGATTGGTTTATTAAATGCTTTTGGATTCAGGAAATCAGTGGCACCAAAGACCTTTGCCTTCTCAAACTTCTGTTCATTAATATCCACAGCAAAGATGCGAGCGGCTCCGGCGTTTTTACAGCCCATGACGGCAGCCAGACCGACTGCACCCAGTCCAAACACTGCACACACAGAGCCTGGTGTAACCTTCACAAAAAGCAAGTTTAGATAAATTCAGTTAACAGATAAAGTAGTTTCAGTATACAGCTCTGAACTCTGTATTGTCTGCATGACGGTGCCAGCTGACAGTTATCCAGATGACTTTAAAAGTCTCTACAAAAATATATTGAAACAACCAGAATATACACCAGAATGCTCTCGTCATGTTCTCACTTCTTGAAGTAAAACCAAGCGTCAAGTCAAATGTATTAACTCTTCACAATATTCGTCTTTTGCTAGCAGCTTAACTGAAAGACAATGAGTAAATGAACTGTTA